GCTTGGAGCAACTGGCTCTAGTGGAAGCTGTCCCTGCCTGTGGTTGATCTTAAGGTCTTTTCCCACCCAAACCATTCCATGATTCTATGAATGCAAAGTCATGTGGGGAAGAGAAATGGGGTGAACGTGGGTAATGCAGGAACAGGAGCAGGGTGACTGCAGGGACTGGGAATGGCAGCAGAATGAATGCGGGCAATGTGGGGAGCATGGCAAGGTACTGCCTAGGCTTGCCCAGCGCTACTGTCCTGGCAGGCACATTCCCAGCAGCCAGGCATGGCTGATGGGCTCTGCCAGCTCCGACCTCTGACAGCCTGGCCCAGGAGAGGTCCCTGCAGCTGGGCAGTGTCCCAGCCCCTCACCAAGCCCCTCACCTTGCCTCTCGGGAGACAGGGTAGATGAGAGCAAGTGGCTTCCACCCTCTGGGATCTGGCACAGAAAGGAAAAACACCATAGAGCTTTCCTGCTTGCCTATCCCTGGCTCTCTGGCTTGGCTCCATGGGAATCTAGCCCTGCCTGGCTAGTTTTCCATGGCTCTGGTCTCGGGAGGGGAGATGAATGGCTCCTTGCGGAACACAGGCAGACACCTTCCCTCCCACAGTGGTCTTGGAGGGATGGGATCCTGCCCTGTCCCAGCTGTGGCTGTGTCTCAGCAGGCTGATACAGCCTCAGGAGAGGCTGGCTGTGAATGCAGGCAGGTTGCTGGGGTGGTGGTGATAGTGTGACTGGCACCATGGCAGAAGGGCTATGGGAGTGTGCTGCCACAGCACTGGCAACGTGCTGGAGGGCAAAGGATGCCCTGGAGCCCCCTAGGGTTGCCATAGCAGTGGGCTGGGAGGGGGGAAACTGAATCAGTCAAGGGGACAGGACATGAACCCAGCAGCCCACATCAGCTGAACTGTGCCATCCTGCGCAAGGAAAGTCTCCCATAACTGCACAGGGAGGGCTGGGTGGTGTCTTGGTGGATGCAGCCTTCACAAGGGGATACTGGCTGTGCCCAGCATGCTGAACTTCACCCCCTCCATTGCTTGCGGGGCTTAAGATGCTGGAATGCGCAGGTCTCTCCCTGAGCTGACGCTGTGAGGGCTGCCTGTGGGAGCTGGCTGCCCCGCGGTGCCCATCCAGCGCTTGGCTCCCGGCCTTGCTTGGCTTCTCCCTCTTCCCTGGCCAAACGCTGGCATAAGGCAGCAGCGCTGAACAACTCAGCCTTTGTGCTCGCCCGTGTGCCCACAGCAGCTCCCTGCCCCTTAGGGTGCAGGATCCGCTCTCCCCTTCCTCCCAGATGCTCTGGCGCCCTGGCAGCCCCACCATGGAGACGCTGCTTTCACAGCCTGCCAGGGACAGGAAGGAGCAATGGAGAGGCTCCAGTTGAGGCTCCCTTTGTGTCCCCATGCAGTTGTGGGCTCTCCCTGGCACACACATTGCTGCTCATGCTGCTGGGTTTGGATGCTGATGCAGGAGCAGGCTCCTGCTGTGCCACCCGGCATCACTCAGTGAGAGCTGTCAGTTTGGGAAGGAGCAGTGTCCACCCCTACCTGTACCTTTGTCTCTCTCTGTGTGTCCTTCTGCCACCCAGTCCTTTCTATCTGTGTGGGAAGCAGCCACATTTGCTTGCCTGGAGCACTCCGACCAGGACTATGCTGCTCTGTCCTGGGTATCGGTCCCTTGTCACTGTCCCTTCACGGTGACGGTGAGCTGAGCATGCAGGGGGTGGAGGTGGTGGCCAGGCTCATGGTGCCTCTGTGGTCTTGCCAGCTCTCACCTCCCTGGGTGTGTTGTCTGTTCTGATGCTGGTTTATCAGCACAGGCAGGAGGGAGATGGGACTGGCACTGCTCATCTTGCTGGCCCAAGGACAACCTGTGTCCTTCCCATTGTGCCACCCTGGGGATGGCCAGGCACAGGCTGCCTGTGTCATGGGTTCCAGGGGATCAGCCACACTCTCTATGGGTGTCTCAGCCCTTTAGGACTCAGATGGTGACTTTATGACTTCTAAAGTTGCTGATCTTTGTAGCAGAGGAGAGAAACTGAGGCAGAGAATGGCAGGCACTGCCAGGTCCCCCAGTGTCACCTGGTGGGATTGAGGACAGGGCCACCAAGACAGCCCTTGCTGGCTCTGCAGATGTTTATATCACGTTTGGCCGGAAAGCTGCCCAGTGGAAAAGAACTTGAGGGTATTGGTTGATAACTGCTTGAATAGGAGCAGCTTGTGCCCAGGCAGCCAGGAAGCCCCCAGCATCCTGGCCTGTACCAGCACCAGTGCGGCAGCAGGGCCAGGGCAGGGATTGTGCCCTGTGCTGGGCACTGGTGAGGCCGCACCTCGAATCCTGTGTTCAGCTCTGGGCCCCTCACTACAAGAGAGACATTGAGGTGCTGGAGCGGGGCCAGAGAAGGGCAGCGGAGCTGGTGCAGGGCCTGGAGCACAAGTGTGATGGGGAAGGGCTGAGGGACCTGGGGGGTTCAGGCTGGAGAAGAGAAGGCTCAGGGGGGACCTGATGGCTGCCTACAAGTGCCTGAGAGGAGGATGGAGCCAGGAGGGGCTGGGCTCTGCTCCCAAGGAACAAGGGATGGGACAAGAGGAAACGGCCTCAAGCTGCACCAGGGCTGGTTTAGGTTGAAGATTAGGAAAGCTTAGTTCTCTCAGAGAGCTGTCAAGCACTTTAACAGGCTGCCCAGAGCAGTGGTGGAGTCACCGTTCCTTAACGTATTTAAAAGACATGTAGATGTGGTGCTCAGTGACGTGGGTTAGTGGTGGCTTTGGCAGTGCTGGGTTAAAAGTTGGACTTGATGATCTTAAAAGTATTTTCCAACCTAAACAATTCTATAATTCTATGTTTGTAGGAGGTATCCTAGTGCCTGAGCATGGCTTGATCTGTATGTGAACACCTACCTGGCCCAACGAGGGTCTCATGTGTCCAGCATGGTGATGTTTCTCCTGGGAGGGGAGGGTTTGAGAGAGCTGGGACAGCTGGGTGCCAGGGAGCAGGAGGAGCTGCACTGGCCTAGAGAAACCCTCAGCAACATGTCTTGGTGGTCACATACATCTCCTGTGATGCTGCAGGGGATCTCTGCACCATTTCACATGAGGCTGGGGCCACTGGCACTCATCTCTGCCCTCCTGCTCTGCTTGTCCTGCTCTTGTAGTGGGGATCCATAGTATTCCCACACTGGCTGACAGCAGCTTCCAAGGACATCCATCAGTGATGCTCAGCTAATTCCCTGGAGAGCAGGACTCTCTGGGGAGGTTCCCATGTCTCTGGTCCCCCTGGGGAGATGGGATGCATGTTGAGGGCTGGTACATGGCTCCCTGCAGGTCCCCTGGCAGGTGATGGGGTCCCTCAAGTGCTTGGAGCTGGCTGGGCAGTGATGTTTAGGGAATGGGAGAGCCATAGATGTTGGCATGTGGACAGCATTGGCTCCTGGCCTCAAGGACAGCCCAGCATGGCCAGTCTCTAGCCCATGCTCGATGGAAATCCATGTGTGTACGCCCCTGCAGCGCTGCTGCTCACCCTCTCTTCCAAACCCACATTTAACCACCGGGGAGGGGATGAAAACGTTTTGCTGAAAACCCTGTTCTCCTTTTTTCTTCAGAAGAACTTTCCCAAATTACCGTGGTTCCAGTTTGTTCTTCTGCCCATTCCCCGAGGACACTGTTGCTGAGCATGGCTGGGGTGAGGGAGAAGGGGAAGCTCCTAAAGTTGTTCAAAAATTAATTAAAGCTGGGGTTTAATGTTCCTGGAGGAGGGTGGGACCCTGGGAAGGCGACAGGAGCGAGTCTGGGGCTGTGCACATCAGAAGCTGCTTTCTATTGTGGCTGCTGAGCTAAATTTACCCACAGACACCCAGAGCTGTTCCCACACGCTGGAGAGCCGGGTGCTCGTGCTGCCTCCTGCCCCACAGGGACACCCTGGCCTCCAAACTCGGTGGGGGTTCATAGACTCATTTGTCTCTTCTGAGCTCTGCTTGCCACTGGCCAGGCTGACAAGGAGGCTCTTGAGGAGCCCCAATCCACTAAGCGTCTGCTGCGGTCGCTGGCAGGGATGCGGTGCTGCCAGGGATGTGGCTTCCAAGGAATTAATAGCTGTGTCTCTGAAGCACCCAGGGAGGGGAGATGTGCAGTCATTAGCTCTAATGAGAGCTGTTTGCTGTGGTGCTTGCCTCTGTGCTCCCTCATTCTCCATGAGTCCCCTGGGATCAGCCAGCTTCCCACAGCTGGCACATGCACCCAAACCCAGAGCTGCTGCAGGCTGTGCCTGTGCTGGAGTGCGAGTGTGTGTCTGGCTGCTCTGTACTGTTGGGAAGGGGTTCAGTGTGATGGGTGGGAATGCAGTAGGTCAGTTGTGCATGCCACCAGCAGCAGGAGCTGAGCACAGCCTCACCTGTCCCCTTCCCATCCACCAAGCCCATGGCTGGGGACAGCTGCTGGGCTGGGCGGTGGTTGGGTTGGGGCGGTTGTTTTGGCTCTGAGACTGTCTTGGCATGGTTTTGCACTTTGCATTTCAAGCCTTTGGAAGTGCAGTTTGATCTTGTTGCCTCTGAAATGGGTGCTGCTTCTGTGTTTCGATGGGTGTCTACGAACAGCCAGCGCTTGCTGCCTTGACAGGGGCATTGCAGTGCATGAGCCAGCATGGCCATGGCCCTGTATGCCCCTGTATAGGCTATGTTCGGCTATTGAGGCAAGGGTAGTTTAAGTGTGGGCTGCAGGTGATTACCTGCCTGTGCTGTGGTCCCCAGTCCTGCCTGTCACCTCCTCGGCCGCAGAGGTGGATGGTGGCATCACTGGAATGCACCAGCCGCTTTTCTTGGCCACAAACAGATCAAGGTTCTCGCTGGGTGCAGGAGCGGAAGCATTCAGTGCTCTCTGCTCCACACTGCAGGCAAAGGTGCTCTCGGTCCCCCACATGCAGCAGCCACAGTTCCAGTGTGGGACATTGCTCACATCCTCAGGACCAGGCTCATGTGAGTGAGCCCTGAGGCTGCCCTCAGCCCCCTTCCCTTCTTGCAGGATCCGTCCCCAACTGTCCAAAGAGAAAATAGAGGGATGTCACATCTGCACCTCAGTGACACCCGGAGAGCCCCAGGTGCTATTGGGGAAGGACAAGGCCTTCACCTATGACTTTGTCTTTGACCTGGACACGTGGCAGGAGCAGATCTATACAACGTGTGTTGGCAAGCTCATTGAAGGCTGCTTTGAGGGCTACAATGCCACCGTGCTGGCGTATGGACAGGTACGTGCTCTGCCTGCTCCTTGGGTTCTGGCATGGGCATTGGGCTCCTCTGCAGCACTGGGTGCTGGGGCTGCTGAGATGGCATCTGCAGAGGTTACAGATGGTGGGGAGTGGAGGGGACAGAGTTGTCCCTGGGCTGGGCAAGAGAGGGGGCTGGGGGTGGCCTTGGATCGGAGGAAAGGAAGGCAGGGCTGGGGGGCTGGGGTGGGGGTGTGGGAGCTGGTGTGAGAGTGGGGATCAGAGGAGCTTAGCAGAGACGTTTGGGGTGCTTGGGGTGGTGATGGGGAGGTGAAAGGTGCCTTGGGCAGAGCTTAGACTGGGAGAGCCCAGCCAGCTGCCCCTTCATTGCCTTTTTGCAGACTGGTGCTGGGAAGACATACACCATGGGCACTGGCTTTGACGTGAACATCTCTGAGGAAGAGCAGGGCATCATCCCACGGGCCATCAGCCACCTCTTCAGCGGCATTGAGGAGCGCAAGCGCACAGCGCAGAGTCAGGGCAGGGCGGCTCCGGAGTTCAAAGTCAGTGCCCAGTTCCTGGAGGTGGGTGACAGCACGTCTGGGTGACACTGTCACCCTCTCCTTTGCTCAGCATTCATGTCCTGGCTGCTCCATGGCTGAGCTGCATCCTACAGCAGGTGTGCTGCCAGGAGTGTAGCCGGAGCAGAGGAGACTCAAAGGAGCTGAATGTTGGTGACCTCTTGATGGCCACAAACTGGGGTGGCATTTTCTTGGCTGAAGGGATACCCTTCCCATGGTCCCTTGGTCTCTTGGACATTCAGGGGGCTCTAGGCTTGCTTACTCCTGTTTGAGATTGAGGATAGTGGCATATCTGTTTCCCTGGGTCTGTACCAGCATTCCCAGTGAAACAAGTGGAAGAAGTGCCATTCTTGTGGGGACTGGAGGAAGGGATGCATTATTTCCCATGTCCTTTGCTGCATCTTTGACCTTGAGAATGCTTCATTGCATCCTTTCCTGCCTCTGCCTTGGCCTCTTGATTTCAAAAGCCTCTTCTATTAACTACTTATTTTCCTGGAGAAGTTTGTCCCCGAAAGCCTCTGGACCTTGTGTGGCTGCAGCAGTCTCCCTGTGGACTGGTTGTGGTGTAAAAGTGCAAAGAAGCTCAAGAAGGGAACTGGTTTAAGGCCCTGGTGAGGAAACATTGGGTGGTATTGAGCAAAGCTGGGCTCCTAAACAAACTTCATCTGGTTGTTCTCCTGATGTGGGGTAGAGCCCAGAGGAAACAGGCAGGCAGAGAAGAGGCCCTGTGCTGGGATTTTGCCTCCATGTGGCTTTGGCGTCCATCATATCTGGGTTCCTCCAGATGTCCATGGCCTGGAGAGCGTAAGTGATGCCCAAAGTCACCTCCTAGTCTCAGGGGCTTATCTCCTCACTGAAGAAATCCTTTCCAACCAGCTTTCCATCTGCCGAACCCTTGCTCACTCCCATGGTGCTGTGTGTCTTGCCACATCCTTCCCTCCCCACCACTCAGCCTGTCCAAGTTCCTGGCTGCCTTCCCACATATTCTCATGGGCCTCCACTCTGGGGAACCTGAGGGCTGGGATGGAAATAGGTACAATTTCCTGCCTGTACTGAAGTCCTTCTGGGAGATGAACCTTGGTTGGGCTTTATCCCTGCTGCAGAGTGCCCTAACCCTGTTGGAGTCATGGCATGGTCCTGCCTTCCTGAGCTGTAGAACCAAATACTGGCCTTAAGCCCAACGTGTGTCCCCTTACCCTATGTAACACACTTTCCTTTACCTCTCAGTGTCCTGTATCTGCTGTCTAGAAGATTCTTTGCTGTCCAGCTATAGTTTCTCTTGACTCAATTTCTCCCTCTAGTTTGGGATGCCCCAACAGTGCCCCAGGATGCTGGGTGATCTGTTAGCTGGGGTTTGGACACGTGAAAGATGAATACTGGAAATGGGATGTCTGTGCTGCCTCTGTTCCAGGCCATCCTCGGAAGCATTTCTTCAAACCAAGAGGTCCAGCACAACCCCAGTGACCCCTGGGAGTGAAAAAGCAGTGGCCCTGCTTGGGGTCACAGCAGCTGCCGTGGGTATTTCCTGTAGCCTTTCTCACTCTTCACCACCTCTGACCTCTGGTGCTTTGGGTTCTCAAAATAGCCTCAGAGATATTTGTTCTGTGACTGCAGTGGAGGATGGGAACGGCTTCCTCTGCTGTGCTTCAAAGCTGCTCATGGTTACACTCCCCAGGCCAGCAGTGCCCAGGGGGACGTTGTCCGCCCCTGTTACATGTGGGGACAGTAGAAACCTGATGGCCCAGTGGCAAAGACCATTGAAGCCTGCTGAAAGCCTTGCCTTCTGGTCCGCTCTGCAGCATGGACATCAAACCAGGCAACTCAGGGAGGGTTTTGAAGTGATAATGGCTCTCCTGTGCCTGCGTGGGCACGTGGCTGCATCAGGTGCTGGTTACCAGCTATGTTGTGCTGGCAGTGGAACAGGATTTGGCCCCGCTGATCCCTGTCCTGTGACTCTCCTCCCAGGAGCAGGCTGTGAGAGCAGGGTTTGAACCCTCAGAGAGCCTGTTTGCCCCTGGGGCAGCCAGGGACAAATTAGCCTGATCCGCTGAGGTGGCCAGGACCCTTGCGGTCCTTGTGCGACCCTGTTCTCCACACAGGGGCATAAGTGTGAGAGGGTGACGTGTGGCATTGAGTGGTGGTGGCAGGAGGACAGAAAAGCAGGGGTGTCCCTCTGCCCCAGCATGAGACAGGATGCTGCAGGGTCAAGATACAAATGGGGACATCTGTCAGCTCTGGGTCCTCAGGGTTTCTCTGCTCGTCCAGCCCTTCCTGTAGCTCTTGGTTTCCTTTCCACCCAAGGTTACCTTAGGGAAGCATGGTGGGAGAGGGGCTCTGCTGGCTTGTGTGGCTGGGAGCTCCTCAAGTGAGCAGGGAAGGCTGGGAGGACGCAGAGCTCCTGGGTGTCCACATGTGTGGGGACATGGTTTCTGGTGTGGGACAGGGACATGACAGGGTTGGGGAGCTCAAACCAACCCAGACTGCAGCTCAGAGCTTTGGAGGCAAACATGGCACATGTATGTACACCTGCGTGTGCACACATGCCACTTCGTCTGGGCATCCTAACCTGGCTGAATACGTATACAGGAAGGTTAGAGCTTGCCTGAGCATCTTCTCCTGTCTGCAGACACATCCCGTGTGTCCTTTCCTACATCTGCACACACATCAGCTCTCCTGGTCAGCCTCGCCTAAGCACATACACGTGTATGTATTTGAATGCAAGAGAGGGACTCTTCGTTAGGGACTGTAGTGACAGGACAAGGGGTGATGGGTTCAAACTGAAACAGGGCAAGTTCAGGTTGGATCTAAGGCAGAAGCTCTTCCCTGTGAGGGTGCTGAGGCGCTGGCACAGGGTGCCCAGAGAAGCTGTGGCTGCCCCATCCCTGGCAGTGTTCAAGGCCAGGTTGGACACAGGGGCTTGGCGCAAGCTGCTCTAGTGGAAGGGGTCCCTGCCCGTGGCAGGGGTTGGAGCTGGAGGAGCTTTAAGGTCCCTTCCAAACCATTCTGTGATTCTGTGTGTGAACACATGCGCACCCTTAGTGTGCAGCCTGTCCTCCTGGCTCTCAGCTCCTGTCAGTCCTGCTGTGCTGTGCTTTAGCAGCCTCCTGCTTACTACTATTCACTCTGCACCCACTTCTACCCCACTCAGCTCTACAATGAAGAGATCCTGGACCTGTTTGACAGTGCCCGTGAGCCTGATGTACGCCATCGCAAATCAAACATCAAAATCCATGAGGATGCCAGTGGAAGCATTTACACTACAGGGGTTACATCACGCCTCATCAACTCACAGGATGAGGTGGGTGTGGGATAGGGCAGATATGGGTGCTCACTGACCAGGGATGTGGGGTGATCTCACCCAGGAGGGAACAGAGCAGCCCTGGAGTGAGGCAGAGGCAGGTCGGTATGCTCACTGGGCTGTCCTGACTCCCTAAAGGATACTTTTAAGGTTTCCTTCTTCCCTGCTCCATGTTGTTGTAGTTGATCCAGTGCCTAAAGCAGGGAGCTCTTTCCCGCACCACGGCCAGCACCCAGATGAATGTGCAGAGCTCCCGGTCCCACGCCATCTTCACCATTCACCTCTGCCAGATGAGAGTGTGCGCCCGCCCGGAGCTGGTGAGATGGGCTCCTGCCTCACGGCTGGGCTCTTCCTGCATCTAATACCAGGGCGATATGTGTGAGGTCCTTTGGAAAGGGGAGAGGGTTTGAAGTCTTGCAAAGAGAGGCAGGGGTTTGTCTTTTTCTTTCCAGTCATAGCCTGTGTTAGCATTTAATGGGAGCTGAGGCCTGCAGTCCCCTCCAGAGCAGGCACGGTCTGGCCCAAGGGGTGGCCCAGAGCAAGCTGCTGTTGGCATCCTCTCCCCCATCCTTGAGGGACTAGGTGTGGAGGGCGAATGCTGTGGCTTTTGCTGACACCTGAATGCAGCCAAGAATCCAGGGTGATGACCCTCTCCATGTGGCTGCAGGTGAATAGGGAGGTGACCAGCCTCCTGGATGGATCCCAGCCCACCACAGAGTATGAGACCCTCACTGCCAAGTTTCACTTTGTGGACCTGGCTGGCTCAGAGAGGCTGAAGCGAACAGGTGCTACCGGTGAGAGGGCCAAGGAAGGCATCTCCATCAACTGTGGACTGGTACGACTCTGGGCACAGCACGCAAGGGGAGGGGAAGCCTGTGACACCTTTGGGTCCTGCTTGGGGCTGCTCTGGGCTTTTGGGGTTGCTGTTGTCTCTACCGGGGTTTATGCTACCTGATTGTGTAGGCATGAAAATGCACAATCCAAAATGCCAGTGGTGAGGGCGCAGCTAGGGCAGGACTATGGGGAGGGGTACAGCTGGGTACAAGGGTTTAAGTCCCCAAAAGGTTGAGGTCTCCTAATTTATGCTAGAAAAACCCTCCAGGGGTCAATGCTGCTCCTCAGGGAATGCAGGAGAGAGGCACAGCCATGGGAAAGGGGGTGAATGCTGAGACTGGCAAGGGAAGCCCCATTCCTCCACCTCTCGCATGCCAAACCTCTGCCACAGCACATGTCCCAGCCCTGATGTGCTGGCTACACACATCAGAAGCAGCAGTGTTCTTAGCAGGGGTGGAATTTGGGAGGGTCTTTCCTTTGTTTTGGTAGCTGGCCCTGGGGAATGTCATTAGTGCCCTCGGAGACCAGAGCAAGAAGGTTGTGCACGTGCCCTACCGTGACTCCAAGCTCACCCGCCTGCTGCAGGATTCCCTTGGGGGCAACAGGTAAGGGGGTCCCAGGCTGGGGCTGAGCCCTGGGAGAAGGCTGAGGGTCTATGGAGCCATGTAGGAGCTATTTCAGGATTCAAATCATGGAATCATAGAATGGTTTGGGTTGGAAAGGACCTTAAGATCATTCGCTTCCAACCCCCTGCCATGGGCAGGGATGCCTCACACTAGACCGTGCTGCCCAAGGTTCTGTCCAGCCTGGCCTTGAACACTGCCAGGGACAGAGCATTCACAACTTCTCTCAGCAACCTGTGCCAGTGCCTCAGCACCCTCACAGGAGAGAACTTCTCTCTGTGCTTCAGATCCAACCTGAACTTCCCCTGTTTCAGTCTGAACCCATCACCCCTTGTCCTATCACTGCAGTCCCTGATGAAGAGACCCTGTCCAGCATCCTTGTAGCCTCCTTCAGACACTGGAAGCTGCTCTGAGGTCTCCACACAGCTTCTCCAGGCTGAACACCCCCAACTTTCTCAGCCTGTCTCTGTGGAGGTTCTCCAGCCCCTGATCATCCTTGGGACCTCCTCTGGGCCTCATGTGTTGCCTGGTAGGGAGGAGATGCCTCCTGGCAGGCAGTGTATGACTTTGCAGATATAAAGACCTTGGTTCCTCATGAGTCCCTGGTGCAATTAGCCAGCTTTGGCAGAATTAGCTGGTGCAAAGCACTTCATATCCCTTGTGATCCAGGACTTGGCATGTGGTGTTGCCCAGCATGGGGTGGACTGAATTCCCTGTCTGTTTTGGGTGTACTACTATGGCTCTACTTCTCCGAAGAGCCCATTATTCCCCAGCAATCCTAGTGTGTCTTAGCTGGCTAGTGGAGGTTGGCTTTGTTCAGTGCTGTGTGATGTGTTGTTTGTGGGGTTCTGGGTCTGGGAGGCACTGAATCCAGGTTATACCTTGGGTATAAAACACAGAAGGGCCTAGGATGGGTGTCCAGGGGCGTGTGGGCTGTGCTGGGTTCCAGGTTTCAAGGTACGAGTTGGTTCAGGGTAGGTGCAGCTGTCCTTTCACCCTGATCTTTACCTCCCCAAGCCAAACCATCATGATCGCATGTGTGAGCCCCTCTGACCGGGACTTCATGGAGACCCTGAACACGCTCAAGTACGCCAACCGGGCCCGCAACATCAAGAACAAGGTGGTGGTGAACCAGGACAAGACAAGTCAGCAGATCAGTGCCCTGAGGGCCGAGATCGCCCGCCTGCAGATGGAGCTGATGGAGTACAAGGCAGTGAGTGAGCCTGCAGAGATGGGATGGAGGCAGGAGAAGGAAGCTATTCTTCATGTTTCATTGTGGCAGGTTTAGCAGGAGAGACCCTCCTGCCAACCATGCTCTGCCCCTAGTGATAAGAGTAACTGCTGTGAGAGGTCAGAAGGTTTAAGAAGTGGGGGCTCAGCTCCTGCCTGGCCACAGCAGAACCTTGGGAAAGTCACTTGGGGATGCAAAGGCAGGGAGAAGCCTTGAAGCATTTCTCACCTTCTGCCTCTTCCTGGCCCTTGGATTTGTCCCTGCCCCTGCTTTGGTGGCTGGGGCGGCCCTCAGGGATGCAGTGGTGGGCCCCACACCCCAGCTCACCCTGCACTCAGGACTGTCTCCTCCTGTCCCCACAGGGTAAGCGGGTCATTGGGGAGGATGGCTCAGAAGGCTACAGTGACCTGTTCCGTGAGAACGCCATGCTGCAGAAGGAGAACAGCACCCTGCGCATGCGGGTAAAGGCCATGCAAGAGGCCATTGATGCCATCAACAGCAGGGTCACCCACCTCATGAGCCAGGAGGCCAACCTCATGCTGGCTAGGGCAGGTGAGGCTGGGCTAAGTGTGAGGTGTGGTGGGTCAGGCACTGTAGCTGGGATGGGTGCACAGGTACAGCCTGTGTCTTGCCTTGATCCACCTGCACCTCTGCTCCTCCAGGAGATGGTAATGAAGCTATTGGCACCCTCATCCAGAACTACATACGGGAGATTGAAGAGCTGAGGTGAGCTGGGCATGGGTGCTGTGGGTCCCCAGGGTCCCTGGGCTCTGCAGGAGCTGTGGTGGGGTCTGAGCCCTGATGTGGCTCAGAGCTGCATGCCTGCAGCATCACTAGGGTGAGTGAAAAGCCTTGCTGAACTAGCAACTGACTACACTGCTGCTACACTGGGGCTGTAGGAGTCCCAGGCACTGCTTTGGCTGTTGTCATCCTTTGTTTGGCCATTGATAGAGGGGGAGATCCTGCTATAGAAATGCCTGGTGTTTCCCAGGAACCACTGGCCCCCTAAAGCTGAGTCCATCCCAGTCTCTTGTTTGATCCTGGGCCTTGCAGCATTCTGACCCAATATAAATGGGAATGACTGTCCCTGGCTCACCCTATCCTACAAGTAGGCAAGATCCAATCCTCTGGAGACAGCGGGATGTCTCTTCTTTGACTACATGCTGTCTTCATTCCCTAGGACAAAGCTCCTGGAGAGTGAGTCCATGAATGAGTCCCTGCGTCGCAGCCTCTCACGCGTCTCTGCTCGGGCTCCTTATTCCATGGGCGCGTCCCCAGGCTCCAGCCTGACTGGGCTGTGTAGCCCTGCTGCACCGGTGGACACGGAGGCCTCCGATGTCCTTCGGCGGGCCAAGCAGGACCTGGAGCGCCTCAAGAAGAAAGAAAGGAGGCAGCGGAGGAAGAGGTGAAGGCATCTGCTGTGGGGTGTTGGGAAGGGGGATGTCCATGTCAGTCCAGCAGTATCGAGTCAGGGATACTGCTGCCCTCATCTGTGTGGAAGCCAGAGCACTGAGACAGAGCCCAGGTTCCCCTCTCAGCACTGCCTTGATCTCCTTGTCACCCTCCATGCTATCCTGGAGGCTGTTTTGCCCAAAAGGTCCAAAACCAGGAGAAAAGGGGGGCCCCAGCAGGACCTGTCACCAGGCTCCCTGACACTGGCCTTCACCAGCACCCCTCTGCTTTCCTCCAGCCCAGAGAAGGAAGCATTTAAGAAGAGGCAGAAACTGCAGCAGGACAATGAGGAGGAGACTGATGAGAACGAGGTGGAAGAGGTGAGTGTGCTTCATGCTCATAGTGAGGGGACATTTGGTTGAGGAGCATTGTCATTGCCCCATGTGGAAGAGAGACCAAGCTCAGCCTCATCCTGCAAGCAGGCTAGAGGGGTTGTGGAGATGAGGACTCAGTGCTGGAGCAGGGGGGAACTGTTTGCCAGCCCTGCTGTGGAGCAAGAAGTTCTCTTCTTCTATGATTCTATGATCTTGTGGGGCTTGGTTTCAGTATGCTTAGGCAAATTGGGGCTGGGTGATGCAGTTACTCTGCTAGGAGGAGATGGATGCAGGAATGAATGGGGCACAGGGCTGCTTCCTTCAAGTGTGGATGCTGGATGTCCAGAAATGGTGCTGCAGCCTTTGGTCATCCCATGTGGGAGGCTGAGTCCTGCTGTGTGGGCTGCAGCACATCAGTGAGGGGTGAGCTCAGGTTTGGAAGAGCTGCAGAGAGAAGGGCAAAGCTGTTCTGCAAGCTGAGGTTAAGCACTCATCCTTCAGGAGGAAGAGGAGCAGGATGAGAGTGGCTGTGAGGAGGAGGATGGACGTGAGGATGAAGACGAGGATTCGGGCAGTGAAGAGAGCCTGGTGGACTCGGACTCAGATGCAGAGGAGAAGGGTAAAGTGCAGAGCCACGCATGCAGCCCAGGGTATGGGGGTGCATTTGCTTGTGTCTCCTAGCACTGAGCTCTGGTCCTGGGAAGGGAGAGTCAGCCACCTCTCTAAGGGGCTTAGAAAGCACCAGGGTTGTTGCAAGGAGTCTCCAATACTCTTTGCGGTACTGCTGCTCCCTAGCAGTGTGGATTCCCATGAGCTCCCTCTGCCCTCTCCATGTGCTGTGGCTCACTGGGGCTATGGGAGTGATGCTGCCCCATCCCTCCCAGCCTGACTGTTCCCCTCCGGCCTGCAGCCGTGAACTTCCAGGCTGACCTGGCAGATCTGACTTGTGAGATAGAGATCAAGCAGAAGCTGATCGATGAGCTAGAGAACAGCCAGCGGCGCCTGCAGACCCTCAAGCACCAGTACGAGGAGAAGCTGATCCTGCTGCAGAACAAGATTCGGGACACGCAGCTGGAGCGGGACCGGGTCCTGCAGAACCTCAGTGAGAAATGCCTGTGAAATCCCCTCCCTGTGGTGTTGGGCCCAGTCCTTGCTCCTACCCAGCTGACTCAGAGCCAAAGCGTCCACCCCCTGCATGCAGTGCTGGCTTTGGTACAGCTTTGCTATCTCTTTGCCTCTGCTTGAGCCCGTGGGATCTCCAAGACCCTGCTGGTCTTGCCAGGGGAGGGGAACTGGTGAGCTGGAGAACTCCTGACCCCACTGGTGGTGGAGAGGTGGCTGAAAAGGATGGCAAAGCAAAGCCGCTTCTAGCCTTGAACACCACTTCATGACACGTGGGAACACTTGGGAAAGCTTGAGGGTCTGCTGAGGGACACATGAAGACCCCAAAGACCTGGTGGTGTAGCTAATCTCTAGGCTCAGCAGGGCAGGATCACCCATGTTGAGGTCTGCAGCTCCTCTCAGCCCAGTGGTTGTGCTGAAACCCACTGTCTCCAACCTGTGCTGAACCCAACCCAGCTCTTCCAGTGGATGCCCCCAGATAGAGCCCAGCCTGTGATTGGGCCAGAGCAGAGGGATGTGGAGGGAGCAGTGCCCTGTGCTTCCAGTGCAGGAGGAGCCCGGGGTGGATGGCTATCACAAGCTCTCTCCTTGTTCCTCTAGGTACTATGGAGTGCTACACAGAGGAGAAAGCCAACAAGATCAAAGCAGACTATGAGAAGCGGCTGAAGGAGATGAACCGGGACCTGCAGAAGCTCCAGGCAGCCCAGAAGGAGCATGCTCGCCTGCTCAAGAACCAGTCCCGCTACGAGCGGGAGCTGAGGAAGCTGCAGGCAGAGGTGACCGAGATGAAGAAGGCAAAGGTACCTGGTCAAGTCTCCCTGCTCACAAGCAATGTTTTCCACTCCTGTCCTGGTGGCAAGTGCAGGACATCTGTCTGGTTGGATGGATGCCTTGGGACAATCGGGTGCCTGATCCAACACATGGTACCACAATCCCATCACAGGTGGCACTGATGAAGCAGATGCGGGAGGAGCAGCAGCGCAGACGTCTGGCAGAGACAAAGAGGAATCGGGAGATAGCACAGCTCAAGAAGGAGCAGCGGCGGCAGGAGGTGAGAGCCCATCGCCCGCAGGTGGTTGCCCAGTGTGGTGGAACCTGGCTGAACGGCTCCCGAGAGCTTCACACGCTCTCTGTGTGCTTGTGGGAGACGCTGTGGGGTGATGTGCCATTAGTGCCAGCCTTGAGGCTGGAAACCTGCTCACTTTAAAATCAAGAGTGAGGCTGTTTGTGCCAAAATAACTGCCCCAAATTTTGGTGTTAGTAGTCCCAGGGCTATGGCCATCACTGGGGTGTCTGGGCAGGACCCCAGGGGTGTGTGTCTCTCTCATGCAGTTTCAGATCCGGGCTCTGGAGTCTCAGAAGCGGCAGCAGGAAATAGTGCTGCGGAGGAAAACTCAGGAGGTGAGAAGGATGGGTCTGCCTCCATGTAGCCCCCATGGGGGTCCTGACCCCAGTGCTTGGCTTAGAGACACCCTGTCCTTCCATGAGTGCCAGCTCTGGGAGCAGGGCTCCCAAAAGGGTAGGAGGATTTTTATGGCTCCTGGGGGAGAAGTGAGGCCTTCTAGAGCAGACTGAGAGGGGATCCCATCAATGCCGATCAATATCTCAAAGGTGGGTGCTGGGAGGATGGTGCCAAACTGTTTTCAGTGGTGCCCAGTGACAGGATGAGGAGCAATGGCCATAAACTAAACCACAAGAGGTTTCACCTGACATGAGGAAGAGCTTCCTGTTGAGGGAAGCAGAGCACTGGACAGGCTGCCCAGGGGGGTTTTGGAGTCTTCCTCTCTGGAGACATTCCAAACCCACCTGGACACGTTCCTGTGTGCCCTGCTCTGGGTGGCCCTGTCTTGGCAGGGGTTGCACTGGATGATCTCCAGAGGGCCCTTCCAACCCTAAGGATTCTGGGATTCAATGTAACCAGGTGGGAGATGGTTGCAGGCAGCAGGGGATGGTGTACGAGGCAGAAGGGAGACATCCATGAGGCACGAACACCCCCAGTGCTTTAGGTCTGGAGAGCTGCTGCTCTTTGTCTATGGGAACCTGGGGGTGATAGAAGAGCCTTGGGGTGGGGATGCCCATCTGACAACTTCTCCTCCACCCTGGGCAGGTCTCCGCGCTGCGCCGCCTCGCCAAGCCCATGTCTGATCGGGTGGCAGGCAGGACGAGCCAGAAGCCAGCCATGCTGGACTCAGGCGCTGAGGTCTCGGCTAGCACCACATCCTCTGAGCCTGAGTCTGGCGCTCGCTCCGTCTCCAGCATTGTGCGCCAGTGGAACAGGAAGATCAACAACTTCCTGGGAGACCCCTCGTCCCCTGTGAACGGGGCTCGACCCCCCAGGTCAGGGCAGGGGCTGTGGGAGTAGGTGATGGTGCATCCCAGGACTCCCATGCCTGGCTTTTGGCTGGTGCTGGAGGTTGAAGGCCAGCTTCTTACTGGTGTTAAACCATTGACCCAGTGACAGGCTGTACTGGCAGCATGTGACTGACTGTCCCATGAGCTTAAGCCCAGAGCTGTCCTTCCATAAGTGTTAAATGCCATGACACAAGCCCCGCTGGGCTCAGCTCTTGTCCCTTTCTTTGCTAAGGGGCAATTGAAAAGCTGGGCAGTCTAGAAACAATGCAGATGCTTCCTCTGCTCCTGGCCAGCCAGAGTCCAACTGGGGCATTCTTTTGGGGCAAGCATGGCTTTCCAGGAATGGTGCAGCCAGTGGCCCATGTGTCTCTTCTCCCCTTTGGCTGTAGGAAGAAGTTCCCCAAGAAGGGGACGAGTCAGACCTTCAGCAAAGCCGCCCGCCTCAAGTGGCAGTCGCTGGAGCGGCGAATCTTTGACATCGTCATGCAGAGAATGACCATCGTTAACCTGGAGGCTGACATGGAGCGGCTCATCAAGGTGACCATAGAACCATAGAATCAACCAGGCTGGGAAAGCCCTTTCAGCTCATCCAGTCCAACCATTCCCAGCACTGCCAAGGCCACCCCTAACCCATGTCACTGAGGCCTCGTCTCCACGCTGTGTGAACACTTGCAGGGACGGTGACTGCAGCCCTGCCCTGGGCAGCCTGTTCCAATGCCTGAGCACCCTTTGGGGCAGGAGTTGTTCCTCAGCTCCATCTAAACCTGCCCTGGGGCAGCTTGAGGCCGTTTCCTCTTGTCCCATCCCTTGTTCCTTGGGAGCAGAGCCCAGCCCCTCCTGGCTCCATCCTCCTCTCAGGCACTTGTAGGGAGCAATCAGATCCCCCCTGAGCCATCTCTTCTCCAGATTAAAGCCCCCAGGTCCCTCAGACATTCCTCATCAGACATGTGCTCCAGGCCCTGCACCATGGTGCTGTGGACAGAGAAGGCTGGGTGGTGGGTGCAGGGCAGGGGCACTGCCATGCTCACAGTGCTGATCCTATTCCCTTTTTCCTCAGAAACGCGAGGAGCTGACCCTGCTGCAGGAAGCGTTGCTAGGCAAGAGGTCAAAACTGCAGGCAGAGAATCCCAAGGGGCTGCAGGAGCTGAACGAGGAGATCGAGGTGCTGGGGGCCAACATTGACTACATAAACGACAGCATTTCTGACTGCCAGGCCACCATCATGCAGATCGAGGAGACAAAGGTGGGTGGTTGGACTGGGCTAGACAGGAACAGAGAGAGCAGGAGCATCATTGGGAAGTGAAGGGTGTCACTGGGAAGAGCTAGGCTGGGTGTTCTCCAGTGCTATGTCACACACTTGGTGGGGCTGCATCTTCACAGTCTCTTCTCATTAGGTGGTTAATTGTGGAGGGGAGCACTGCCAGTTCCTTCCATGTCCATGGACAGGCTGCAAGTGCCCCACGGATTCTAGGGAAGCTGCAACCCCTGTCCTGCCTCTGAGGGGCTGGCAGTCACTTGTCCCCGTGGATGTCCTCCTCGGAAACATCCCAGGGAAGACTGGCTTGTTTCCCAGTAGAAACCCTGCAGGTACCACATCCAGTCTAGACACTGGGCATGCTGCAGGGATGCTGTGCAGCTCCTGGCTCCCCTCTAGTGCTTGCAGCCAGGAGAGGAGGCTGTGTGCTGGCCCTGGCTTGTCCCCGACTCACCTGGATTGACAGGGCAGAAGGGCATGTTGTTAATTCACACTGGCCTTTGGGTTGGTGACCTTATCTGCTTGTGTCTGCAGATTAATGAAGTGTCTGCACCAGGATTTCTGTAGTAGCACAGAAGCCCTTCAGGCTACATTGGCCAGATAGGCCAGTAGCCACTTGGGCAGAATGAGGAGGTTGGGACTAGGCAGTGCTGTGGAAGTGCTGTGCTGGCCATGGAGCCTGTTCTGCCTGTGCCACATCCAGCAGCAAAGCTCCCATGCTGCATCCCGTGCCCATTCCTCCTGTTTCAGGAGGAGCTGGACTCCACAGACACCTCGGTGGTGATCAGCTCCTGCTCCCTTGCCGAAGCCCGGCTCCTGCTGGACAACTTCCTGAAGGCCTCCATCGACAAGGTGCGGTACCAAGGGGTGTGATGGGATTGCTCATGGAACGGGGGCAGGTTGCCGTGGGGGGGACCTGCTGGTGGGACCCAAGCGCCCACCTGAGGCCCTCCATTGCCATCGTTGCCCAGGGGCTGCAGGTAGCACAGAAGGAGGCCCAGATCCGCCTGCTGGAGGGGCGGCTGCGGCAGACAGACATGGCCGGCTCCTCGCAGAACCACGCCATCCTGGATGCGCTGCGGGAGAAGGCCGAGTCGCACCCCGAGCTGCAGGCCCTGATCCACAATGTCCAGCAAGGTGGGACCTGGGGCTGGTGCATCCAGTTCATGCCCATGAGCTAAAGCACCGGAGGTTTTACCTCGACAGGAGGAAGAACTCCTCCCCACTGAGGGTGCAGAGCACTGGGACAGGCTGCAGGGGGGATGTGGAGCCTCCCTCCCTGGAGACGTTCAAACACACCATGGACACGTTCCTGGGTGCCCTGCTCTGGGTGGCCTTGCCTCGGCAGGGGTTGCCCCGCATGATCTCCAGAGGGCCCTTCCAACCCCAAGGACTCTGGGATCCTGGGGCCAGGCATGCTGCCTGTGGGGAGAGTTGTCCAACCATGATGGTCCTCCAAGAAGCACTTGGAGGTGCCATGGCTGTGACCAGCATGCCCAGGGCTGCCCTGAGGGTGATGCTGGGCAGGGATGTGTGTGCTGGTCACCACACAACAGGGATGATGACCAGGTCCCTATGTCCCCCCCCACAACTGCTTGGGCTGCCCCCTTCACTGCACAGCTCAGACGGTGCTGAACACAATGGGGTCCCCGCTGCACTGCTGATGCACTGTCTCCTTCCTGCACAGAGAACGGCTACACCAGCACGGATGAGGAGGTCTCAGAGTTCAGCCTGGCTTCAGATGGGAGGTGAGCACCCAGCCGGGCCCTCCAGCCGAGGTGGAGGAGGCCAGGAGTGGGGTAGGATGTGTGGTGCCACCCATGGGACCTCGCAGGGGGACATGGATGAACAAAGCCCCACCTATGGTGCCCAGCCCTTGGGAAGGGGAGCAGAGATGTCTCTTAGACACCTGCAGAGAGCAAAAACTAGGTCATTCCTTGGAGAAAGGGTGCTGGGGAGCAGCGGGTGACCCAAGGAGTCTGGTGTGCCAGTGGCAACCAGCTCTCTGGAAGGAGTTTGGCACTGAAGATCCACCTTTGTTCCCTTCTCTTGGTACAGTGTCTCCCAGTCTTTCACCATGAAGGGTTCAGCAAGCCAGGATGACTTCAAGTTCAAGGTTGGTCTTTCTGTGTGCCCCATCACAGGGAATGGGAAGAAGGATGGAGGGGCATGTTGTTCAGTGATAATCTAGGCCTCTGCTCTGTAGTCTGACTCTTGGCACAAGGCAGTCTGGCTGGTCTCTGGGTGGGGGCAGCTCTAGAGAAGAGGGTGCCATGGTCCTCTGAAGCACCAGAGGCTTGGGAAGCATCCACCACAACAGCCACCAAGGAAGTCCTTGTGTAGTGCTGCATTCGTGTAGGCAAAGGTGGAAGAGAGCACCCATTGTTCTGCACAGGCTTAGAGTATGTAAAGCCAGCACGACACAGGAGGAACTCCATCTCCTGTGGCCAGAGAGAATGAGCTCTTCCACCCTACAACTCTCTTCCTGTTCCTGCTGTCCCTCCCCATGCTGCCTGTGACTGAGCTCTCTGTCTGCTCTAGGGAGAGCCCAAGCTCTCGGGGCAGATGAAGGCAGTGTCAGCTGAGTGTCTAGGACCCACGCTGGATGTCTCCACCAAGAACATCACCAAGTCCCTGGCATCCCTCATGGAGATCAAAGAGGATGGGATCAGCTTCTCTGTCAGAGACCCCTATTACAAGGAGAAAGTGTCACGCACCATCAGCCTGCCCACACGAGGAAGCACCTTGTGAGCATGGGGTGGTGGGTCGCTGGGCAGTGGGAAGCTCATGCAGGGTGGGAAGCTTTGTCCTGGCTGTGGAGTTGCAGAGAGGTGAGGGTGAGCCCAATCCTGCATCTATCCAGGCTTGTCTGCAGCAAGCAGTCGGGCATTTCTCCAGCAGGACTTGGAAAGTATCTAGGAGTATGCTGATATCCTCTGTAGATGGAGAGGAGGGTACTCCAGGAGGAGGGAAAGAAGGGGGAAGGTCCCCAACTCACTGTTCTGGGTTATCAGCCTTCTTAAAGGCTTCTTGGATCACCAAAAGCCTCTGTGCTCATGGGGTGACTTGAGGCATCTCTGATCTTGTGACTGTAAAGCAGCCCAACTTCTCCATCTGCTCTGCTGGGAAAGGCCACTGGTGTTCAGCATGGAGGGATCGGAGCAGGGGCAGCAGGCACCCACTCTGCTCTCTTTCACTCACTTTAGTCCCAGGCAGTCTCGTGGCTCGGACACTTCACCTCTGACCAGGAGGAAATCCTACGACCGTGGCCAGCCTGCCAGGTGAGCTTGGGAGCTGGGAAAGAGCAGCATGGGCATGGAGAGGCTGGATGGCCCAGACAAGTGAGGAAAGATGCTGGCTGGACCAGCCCTTGCTGTGCCAGGCAACTGCCAGTAAGCAGCTCCCAAGTGACATGTCCCTCTGATCCTTCCTGGCTCAGGCCTCCAGACGCTGGCTTCACGCCTCCCTCATCCCCACCTACCCGTCCACGCAATGACCGCAATGTCTTCTCTCGTCTCACGAGCAACCAGAGCCAAGGGTCTGCCCTGGACAAGTAAGTCCTGGTGGGGTGGGAGCATCTGAGTGAGGGGGATCCATTCCACAACAGCAAAGAGCATGTGTTGGGTCCTTCAGTGGGGTATAGGAGCACAGGACCTATGTCAGCTCCACCCCATTCTTCTGGCACCATTTTCATGCCCTGCTCCTGTCCATGAGAGAGCTGATGCTCTGCAAGGGCCACGCTGGACCACTGCCCTCTCCTGCCTGCTATGTGCCCCTGCCGAGCTGTCTGCTTGCAGGAGCTTGCAGCCATGGCTTCTGCCTGTACCCTACATGGAGACAGGGCAGTGCCACACTTGGACCACTGGGAAAGGCTATGGAGCAGGATGGTGTGAGGTGGGATGGAGGCTTGCAGGAAGCTGATGGACTGCCACCAACTCAAAAATGCTGCTCCAGCTTTCCCCTGCAGCAGACTGGGAACCTGCCCTTGACTTGGGGCTTTTCTAGAACTGCTGATATTCCTTGATGGAGACCTGCTGTCTGATCCTCATATGCCCTCCAGCTCCTCTGCTCTCTCCCCTGGTTCTCCACATGTGCTTCTCTTCCCTCTTTTCCCTCCCCCTCCTTTCTGTCCTGCATTGGCTTGGATGCAATAACAATCCTCCACCTCTCACTCCTCTGCTACCTCTTCTCGTCTGGGTTTTCTCTCCCATAATCCTGCTAATTTTCTGCCCCTAGGTCTGATGACAGCGATTCCTCTGTCTCGGAGGTGCTGAGGTATAGACAACTTTCTATTTATTATCCCTTCCTTCTCTTCTCCTTCTCTCTGTCTCACGAGCCTGCTCTCCCTCATCCCTGCATGCTTCACCTACACCTTGCTGCTCTCCCTCACCTCCCGTCCTGCGTGTGCTGGCCCCTCTTGGCATGCCACCTCTAGTGTCTTGATGCCATCCCTCGGTGGTGAGTTTGAATCATTCCTGCTCTGATAAGCCCTTGGAAATGTGATGTTAGTCTCACCTACAGGCACTGGATGGTTTGGGGTGGCAGCATATTGTTCTCTATCTCTGATGGGTTCTTGTCAGCATGATGCCACAACATCCCGTCCTGTTCCCCAGATCTCCAGCAGGATGGTGTGATGCTGGGGAAAGGGGAAGCAACGCTGGGAGCTCCTAGTGTGTCTTTTTTTCAGTCATCTTCCAGGCAGATAATTCCAGGTGTTCCCTGAACCTGGTTGTGCTTCCCTCATGCTGGGTTGTGGGTAGGTAGATCTCCTTCCCACAGAAACCAGGTCAAATTGTAGTGCAGTGGCCAGCCTGGGCATTCAGATGCTCCTGATCCCAGTGCACCCTCCTGGCTATGGAGGTTTCCCAGCCACCTTTCCTGCAACTTTTAGGAACATCAGCCCTCCAGCACCCAGGTGTCCTCTCACATTGCCCATGCCCTGGGTGCCCTGGGCAGTTGGCACCAGATGAGTCTGTGCTATGTCACCTGGGGTGGTTTGCAGTCAGGCAGCATCACTAGGTCCCATCGATAACATCTCGCCATGGGAGCCAGGTTCCCATTTGCATTCAGTGTCACCTCGACTGGAGGAAACACTAGAGGTGAGGACAGGGCTGTTTCATTTGAGCTTGGAAGTGCAGCTGCTGAGGTGACATACATCTGATTTCTAAACCCAAATGAATGAGCCTGTTTGTCCTAATGACTAATGTAAACCTTTTGTGGCCTTGGGTCTGGCCTTCTCCACCCCTGTGCCTCAGTTTCCCCACCTATAAGAAGAGACAAGCACAATGCAGGCTGCTTCAGATCACCAGCTGGGAAGAGCTGATGGTGGCCATGCACACTAGGGTCTGGAAGAGTCTGAAGGGTAGGGCTGTTGGTTCTCAGTATCCTGAGGGCTGCCAAAGTGGAGGTGATACTGTGTTGAGAGGGATAGGCAGCAAGTGTCCCTCGGAGGAAGGTCTGGCAGGGATAGGTCCTCTCCAGCCCAAAGCCAGTGGGCTGCAGGGTTTTCACAGCAACAGGGATGCGGGATGTAAATACCTGAGCTGTCCTTTGTATCCTTATATAAGGAACAGTGGCCCTGTCTCCAAATGTCACCAGCCCCAGGCTGACAGCCTCCAAGCACCTGGGTGCTGGGGTTTGGTACCCTGAAGCGTTTATCGCAGCAGAGCTTCAGGCTAAAGAAGGTGCAGTTTGTCCCAAGGACAGACTGGGTCTCCTGGCTCCTTGGGTCTGTGCTGGCCAGGCATGGGAGGTTCATCAGGAGAGCAGAGGCCACTGGGCAGCCCCCTGCTTTCCCGGTGTGTATTGATGGGGCGGGGTCTGCTCCTGGGGAGATTCCTGGGGTATCCATGAAGGTCATTGCTCAGATGTGCTTGTTTCAGATGGAGAGGCCCTGTGGCACTGCCACGTGGTGGAAGATGTTTGGTATGAGGCAGCTCTTGTTCTCCCATGCCCTCAGGACTGTGTATGTAGTGTGGTGCCTTCCACACACACCCCATCATGCTTATCCTTTCTTTCTTTCCATGCAAGGGGTGTCATTAACCCGGTGGGTGGCACCAAGAATGCCCGGACAGCCCCGCTGCAATGCGTCTCCATGGCAGAAGGACACACGAAACCTGTGCTCTGCCTGGATGCCACTGATGAGCTGCTATTCACTGGGTCCAAAGGTGCGTGGTGGACAGTGAGGACATGGGGGTTGCTGGCCTGCAGATATTGTGGGAGCAGCAGGTCAGCATGGGGGATGATCACTCTCTTCAACTACCCGACAGAAGAATGGAGCCAGGAGGGGAATGGTCTCTTGTCCAGTGCTCCCAAGGAGCAAGGGACAGGACAAGAGGAAATGGCCTCAAGCTGCACCAGGGCGGATTTAGATGGAGCTGAGGAACAATTCCTTCCCCAGAGGGTGCTCAAGCATTGGAACAGGCTGCCCAGGGCAGGGCTGCAGTCACCGTCCCTGCAAGTGTTCACACAGCGTGGAGACGAGGCCTCAGTGCCATGGGTTAGGGGTGGCCTTAGCAATATTGGGGAACGGTTGGACTTGATGAGCTTCAGGGTCTTTTCCAACCTGGCTGATTCTAGGATTCTATGTGAAGTGCTGGATTCTATGTGAAGTGCTGGATTCCTCCTGGGCTTCTTGTCTGTTCTCAGCATTGAGCCATGCCATACCCTGCCCCAGCACTGTGGCTGGCTCCTTTCCTCTGATTCTGAGGGTGTAGAGAGGTGATGATCAGAGAAGCTATTGCCCTCAAGTCACCATGGCTTTGGAGGGAGACTTCCACCATCTTGATGCTCCTGGGCATGTTCTTCCTCCCACAGACCGAAGCTGCAAAATGTGGAACCTGGTAACAGGCCAAGAAATTGCTTCTCTCAAGGGTCACCCAAACAATGTGGTTTCCATCAAGTACTGCAGCCACACGGGGCTGGTGTTCACTGTGTCTACATCATACATCAAAGTGTGGGACATCCGGGACTCAGCCCGCTGCATCCGCACCCTCACGTACGTGGCAGATGGGAGAAGCTGGGGGGGACCATGGCCTTCTCTGGACATCTCTGGCTTTGCAGAAGCCAGTGCCAGGAGCTACTGAGGCTGGGGACAGGGCCAAATACCAGCTGCTTCAGTGCCAGTGCTGCATCCTTAAGGAACCGGGAGGCTGGGAGAAAGCTTGTGGTGAGGGGACCCATGTGGTTCCTCAGTGGGGCCTCAGTGTCTCTGGTCTCCACTCATCCTCCCTGCTTGACCTCTGTCTCCCTTAGGTCTTCTGGACAGGTGATCTCTGGGGATGCCTGTGCTGGGACCAGCACCCGCATGGTCACCAGTGTGCAGGGGGAGCACCAGATCAACCAGATTGCTCTGAACCCCAGTGGCACCATGCTCTATGCTGCCACTGGGAACTCCGTCCGCATCTGGGAGCTGAGCAGGTGAGGTGCTGGGGTGAGCAGGACAGCTTATGGAGTGGACACTGTCTATCCATAGTGGACACTGTCTGCTCAGAGGCACCTAAAATAACTCCCCAGGGAAATGGAAAGCCTTTTGAGGAATAGAACTTGCCTGGAATAAGGACTTTCAGGACCCTTTCCTATGAGACTCACAGGGTGATGAGCATCAGTGGAGCTACTTGGGGTGAGGGTTTGTCCGTGAGCTGGGCAGAGCTTAGGAGAAGGGGAAGGAAATGTGGGATGAGCAGCAGTACATCCTGGTTTTGCCCTTGCCCCCTTCCCTGCCAGGTTTGCACTGACTCCTTGCTGCAGTCTAGGCTCTGGAGCCAGATCTGGGCATGCCCTGAGGTCTCCTTCCTCCTGGCATCAGCAGGAAGAGGGATGTCCCTGCTCACTGTCTCCCAAAATGAACAACCCCTACGGGAATCCTTTCCTGGGAGAGCCCTTTGGACGAGCTCCAGCACCCAGGAAGGGGCTAGCTGACCCATGTTGTTGAACTCAGGTTGCAGCCCATCGGGAAGCTGAGTGGCCACATCGGGCCTGTGATGTGTCTCACAGTAAACCAGACGGCGAGCAACCACGACCTGGTGGTCACAGGCTCCAAAGATCACTATATCAAGGTACTCACCTCCCCCAAGAGCAGAACCCTGTGTCACACAGGGAAGCCCAAATGTTGGTAACCCCTAAGGTTCTCTTCTCATAGAATCATGGAATGATTTGGATTGGAAAAAACCTTATGATCACAGAATCATAGAATCATCGAATAGTTCATCTAGTTCCAACCCCCAAACTCTCTCTGCTGAAATCGGAGCCCAGATTCTGGTTTCACCTCTGCATGGGAGATTTTTGTGTATCTCCCCAAGTCTTGCTTTTTGCTTGGTCCATAACAGAAATGCACCTTTGGAGATGGATTTGCATTTCTGTCCTCCCTTAGGCTCTCCTCTCCCTCAGGCAAGTACCTCCTGTGGCTGGTACTTGCATGTTATGGCCAACCCAGATTTGCAGCTCACCCTGTTCTGCTCAATCCTCCTCCCCAGTACGGATGCCAATTCCCACTCCCTTTCCAGCCTCAGTCTGGGTGCCCTAAGCCTGGAAAACAGAGGGAGTGATGGCCACATTCTTCAAGAGAGGGTCAGCTCTGTTTTGAGTGCCATCTGAGGCCTTTCCCCATTCTTCTTCTCCCCAGGTATTTGAGATTGCTGAGGGCATGGTGGGCAATATTGGCCCCACTCACAACTTTGAGCCCCCTCACTACGATGGCATCGAGTGCCTGGCCATCCAGGGAGACATCCTCTTCAGCGGCTCCAGGGACAATGGCATAAAGAAGTGGGATCTGGAGCAGCAGGAACTTATCCAGGTCTGAAGGGGAGCACATCATACAGGTCCTCAGGGTGACTCGGGGTAATGTGCGGCAGAGGAGTATTGCTGCTGGCAGGACCCTTGTCCAGGGACCTTATGCCAGTGTCCTGCACTGAGCTCACCAGGGAGGATATTCCCATTCCTGGGAATGTGGCAGTGCATGAGTGGGGTGGCTCTGTGCTGTAGGGCACTCAGGATCGCCAGCTCCCCCTGGCATACAGGCTGCAGCATGAATTGCAGTGCTGGGTGGGGTGTTCCTCTCTGAAGATCAGATGTTATCTCCTGCCCATGGAGCAGGGGAGAAAAAACAAACCCTGACTTCTGAATCGATCCTCTTGGCCTCCTAACTTTGCTTCATTAGTCCTACAATCCAGATCAGCCCCAGGGTGCAACAGTAAGGATCTGACCCATGCTGGATGCATGAGGCCGATGGTGGTGCTGCAGATGAGGTTGCTCATGATCTCTGCTCTATGCCTGCAGCAAATCCCCAATGCCCACAAAGACTGGGTGTGTGCCCTGGCTTTCATTCCCGGCCGCCCCATGGTGCTGAGCGCTTGCCGAGGAGGCATGATCAAAGTGTGGAATGTGGACACCTTCACCCCCATTGGGGAGATCAAGGGACACGACAGCCCCATCAACGCCATCTGCACCAACTCAAAGCACATCTTCACTGCCTCCAGGTGAGCCTCAGGCTTTCTGTTTCCCAGAGCCCCCGGGAGGTGGGAGAGCCCTGGGCTGAAGCATTACCCCCAGGCCTGGGTGGGTTTGTGCTGGGTGGACAGGAAGCAGGGAGGGAGGGAAAGGGGGAGTCTCACAGCTTTCTAGTCCCTCCATTCCATCTCATCTTGCCCACCTTTAGCCTGCCTCATGTCATGGCCTGCCCACTGAAGTGCCAAGAGCTATTCCCTGACCATCCCCTTCCCATGCTCTGGTGATGCCCTGGGTTTTCCCTCTCCCCGGGGCTGGACATCCTCTGCTGCTCTCGGGGAGCTCTTTGGCAGCAAGACTCTGATATCCTCTTTTCCACCATGTCCCTTTTCTCCCTTCCTTTTTCTCTGTCTCTCTCTGTCTCTCCTCCTCCCCACCTCCCATCTGTGCCACAGTGACTGCCGGGTAAAGTTATGGAATTACGTGCCTGGGCTCACCCCTTGCCTTCCACGACGCGTCCTTGCCATAAAGGGCCGTGCTACTAGTCTGCCTTGACCCTTCTGCTCTTTCTCTCTTGCTCATGCAGTCTTCTTCTGTCTTTTCTTCCCTTTTCTCTTTCTCTCCATCTTTTTCTCCCTCTGTCTTTCTGTCGCTTGCTTTCACTCCTCTCTCCCTCCCCCTCTCTCTTTTTCTTCCCTTCTCTCTGGTCTGAGCTGCTTCTTCACGGTATGAAACTATTTTGCGTTTTTCCCCACTTTGCTAGAAGAGACTTGTCCCCTTGTCCCAGTCACACCCCTGCGCTAGTTTGGTTTCCTTGCTTTGGTTTTTCTCCTTGCTGAGTGCCTACATCCACTGTGGTAGCTCAGAGGACACTGTGGCCTTGCCCACTCCTTTGCATGGATGGTGGGGTGGGAGTCAGCAGTCACCCCCAAAGCAGCCCATGCCCTGGGGAGATGAAGCACAGCAGCTCCTTGTGGTGTCACTGCTTTGACCTAGAGTCACTCGAGGGGTGCAGGAGTCCTGTGGTCAGGGTCAGCCCTGGGGGTCAACATTTTTCATTGTCCCCAACTGCTGCCAGTGGGGTGAGCTGGAGGCTGAGCCCCATTGGGCCTCTCTGCTCCCCAGAACAGACTGGGCAAACTCTTGCCATGAGAAAAGTGTCTTGTGGGGTGCATGCTGCCATGGGCTGGGGTGGGCAGTGTTGCTCCTCTCTGCAGGACTCCTGGGGTCACACCATCCTTCTCACCTTTGTTTCTCAGTGACTTGACAGTGAAGCTCTGGAGCGGGAGGAGGTTACCCACAGGGTCCAACTAGAAGCTGCAAAGACTGGAGGACATAACAGGAGGGTGAAGGTCAAGGTACCTCTCCCTCACGATCAAGATCTGGTCATCTCTGGGAGCTCAGTCCAGGGATAGGGATTTGTTTGTGCATGATCCGGTGGGGCGGACGATGCCCCGTCTGGTACTTTGACCACTACTAGCTCCTGTGAGAAGGCAGCTCCGCAGGGCATCATCAGCTCCACCTTCCCTCCCGTTGAGGTTTCTTGATGGTTTTCCAGTGACCATGAAGTATTTCAGCTCTTTTCTCACCCACTCTGCTGTAAAGCCTGATGGAAATTGTGGGCATCAGAGCTCCTTGGCTTCTTCTGAGACACCCCCTTGCCTCCATGGGCTTATGTGGCTTCCACCATGATGTGCTGCTTCTGTCCCTGTTGGCCATGGGGCTGTTTCCTGCAGGAGTCTTTCTGCACTCCACAGCCACAAGGACATTTGGTGTCTGCTGGACAGGACCACAGCATAGAGGGGCTGTCTTTGGAGCCATTACCTGTGGGACAGCCTCTCTGCTGTGGGCAGTCTGGAGAAGGATTTCCAGGTAATCCCATCATTCCACATTCTCCATCTACCTGTTCCCAGCAGTTGGAGGTGGGCACCTCTGAATTCCTTTGCCGTGTCCCAGCTGTGGATGTACAGCAAGCCTGGGAACATCTCCATCAGTCAACTTACAGACAAACCTGCTGCAGTTCCCTTTGATGTTCTCTAAACTCCAGTCATAATTCCAGTCATAAACTCAGCTGACCCATGGCTCATGGGCTCTTGCCCTAGTGCTCTGCAGTGGGGAAAGGCTGCTTAACCCTGCTCTTGACAACCTGGCCCTCAGCAGGGCTTCTGTGGTAGGTTCCTGCAGCATGCTGACCCCCTTGAGATAGAGAAACAAAGAACAGAGGTTACAGGGCAAAGAAGCCAAGGCTGGATTCATCACCATCATCCCTGTGATTCATCTTATTCTGGAAGCTGTAAATCCTTCCTCCAGGCTCTGCTCTTAGTCCTCTGCCTGGGAAGGACTAGCTCAGGTTTGGCCCATTGGCCCCATGGATCTGGAAGCCACAGAAGGCCAAGCCAAGGCATGGAGCAGCCGGAGGATGGGCCAGGTTGGCCTCAGCTGTGCCAGCAGCAGGGTGAGGAAGGGGCAGCACACACTCATCTCGCACAAGTCCCCTGATTCACCCCTTGCTTGAAGGACAATCCTGCAGTGGATGATCTTGCACAGTCCAATCTCCATGAAAAGCTGGGGACTCTGTTCAGGACTCTTTTCCCAGGGATGTAGCTTCTGCAGGCTTCCTCCTCCTCTGGCTCCAGGGCATGCAAGGCCTTGGTCTCACACTGGAGTTTTTCTCCATCAGTCCTGTTGTATCGTCTCCTGCTCTGTCCAGCCCTGGGCCAAGCAGGGCTTCTCCTGCCATGGGCAAGGAGAACCTGGTGTTCTCTGTCACAGAAGAAGCAGCATTTGAACTCAAATTTAAGGATTTCTTCATGAGACCCCACCAGCAATGAACTGGGATCTCAGAGGCCACAGGAGGTTCAGGACCTGCCCCACAGACCATTTTCCCTCTGCTTTTTCCAACCATGGTGACTCTTGGACCACCCCCAGCTCGTTTTGGGGGAAAAGCCCATCCTACTGGCTTGCCTTTGTGGCGGGTGTGATGCGTGTGTGTGTGTTGTGTATGACCATGCCCAGTTCAATGAGCAGTCCCTGGTGATCATGTCTGAGCCCTGCATTGAGGTGAGGAGCCCTCCTGCCATGGCTGATGGAGAAGTGAGTGTAAGGCACAGACATGGGGGCCTCAGGAGGTGTCACCCTCCTTGGAAAGGGTTTCCCTGCTCATTCCTGAGCTGGCGGAAGCTTTGCTTGGCTGGAATGGGTGGTGTGGATGTGTGTATTTGGGCAGAGATGTGTGTTTGAGTGTCTGTAATTGGGTGTACCATATGCATCAATGTCTGCATCAATGTCTGCACCAAGATCTGCCAGTGCCTGATGTGGAACCTCTCACTGCTCCCTGCCGAAGTCGATGAAGGAACCTGCTCTTGGGGGACTCTTGGAGTCAGACCTTTCCTTTCACAACCAGTTTCTTCTTGTGTGTAGGCTGCAAGTGCCTGCTTTATTTCCCAAGGCTGAGTGCTCAGTCCTGCCTGATGCTGAGCATCCACCTCGCTGCTGCATCCAGGAGCACGTTGAGGGGGCCTCAAGGCGCTTGCAGCCTGCAGGTGCTGCAGCACAGCAGCAAGTGACTGGATAGGGGGTCTCTGAGGAGAGGGATAACTGTGATCCTATAGCTGTGTGTGTGTGTGTGTGTGTGTGTTTTAGTATCTGTGTGGGTTGGTATCTCTCATGCACAAGAGCATTTCTCGGGTGTTGATCTGGTTTAGCTACCTCACGGTGCAAGCTGGGTGCTGTTGTCACTGGGTTTGTGTTGGGAATGGGGTGGGGAGTGTGTGTGCTGTTAGGATTTTCTCTTCTCTCAATTATTGTTATGGTTTTTCACACTTGAATTCATGCTGGGGACACATGGCCTCACCCCCACCTCACTGTATGTCTGAACTGCCCCTCATGCAGCAGGATTCCCCCCAGCTGAGTCACAGCACTGAGGTTTTCCTCCTGTGGCTGGTGGGGTGATCGGGCTGACCTCAGCTTTGTTGCTATTACTGTGTTGATCTGCAGTGCGGAAGTGGTCCCTCTTGTCCCCTTGCAGGATGGAAAGGGACCTATGAAAGGCTCAGCTCAATCTGGATTCCTGCCTCTGTTCTAAGAGGGTGCAGTGAAGCCCTTCTTGTGTTCAGAATGTCCATGCAAGGCACATCACTGGAATGAACTGTTCCCCATTTTCCAGAGCCTGCAGCCTGGAGCAGCAGGGAACTGGTCCTGTAAAAGCCTCTGTCCAGGTCTGTGAAAGAACATCATTCTCATGTATGATGTTTGATTATTTTATTCCCAAACCATAGTTGAATCTAGATCCAGTCCCAGACACTGAACGTAAACCAGGGTAAACCTGGAGCCCCAGATTCCCCACTGTCTGGGGTTGGGAAGCTGACACAGAGTTGTATTCTGCTTTCCTGGCACAATGGGGTTTGGAAAGTGGCTCACAGCTCTGAGCCACACTCTGAGCCAGTTTAGGTGGGGCAGGTTCCCCCAAACACTAAAGCACAATGTCCCAACATGAAGGTGGTCCAGCAAGGGTGGTGCCTGGGACTCTGGTCCTTCAGAGCCATGGACTTAGACAGCCAAGGTGGAGATGGGCTCAGGTGAGGGCTCTTTGTGTGCTGGAGGAAGCAGGTGAGCTGAGTCATCCTTTGCACTGTGCTGGGGAGCTCCTCTGGGGCTCAGACTTGCACAGCTTAAGTACTTTCTTGTGGCTTCTGAATCCCTCTGCCATTGCAGGGACAGTTTCAAGCTGCCTTTGCACCATGCACCTCATTTTGCTTTGCCCTTGGGTGCATTGGTTTGATACCTGCAGTCCAGAGAAGTCCTTCCCTTCCTCAAATCACTGGGTGCTGCTTTTGTACCCGGGGCCTGACTCTTGCCCCCTGGGTTTCCCCACTCCAGCACACAGGGGCCAGCTCCTGCCTCTGCTGCGGGCACAGAGCTGGCCCAGAGCTGAGCTTTGCACACAAGGGTCCCCAAACCACTCTGAGCCCCCCAGGAAGCCTGGGCACTGCCCCATCCGTGGCACTCGCAGCCCTTGTGGCACAGAAGGACAAGTGGGTGCTGCATCTCCCAGCCTGGCCAGCTGTGAGGAGCTGGGCTCTGCGGTCCTGTCCCCTTCCCTGTTCTTCCCTCTAAGCACAGCTGCTTTAAGGTCTCAGAGTCTGCCTTCTGCCTTGGTGCTGCAGAACCAGTGCCTGCTCCCCAGGGTGCTCTCCCAGTGCCCCTATCCCTGACCTTCTTCCCTTGTCCCATATGGGACAGGGTGCAGGTACAATCTCTGCAGAGCATAGAGCTCCCATCTGCTTTTCAGCAAGCTCACAGCCTAGAGGCTGCAACACCCTCCCTGAGCCCCCTGCTTCCTGCAGAGGGAAGGGAACTCCTGGCCCTCCTGGTGTTCCAGCTGGAAGTGGGAGGGAGCCCAGCACAGCCCCAATCCCCCAGGCCCTGGTCTGGCTTCCTAGGGCTCACCCATAGAAAAGCACAGCCCTGTATCTTCCTCCTGCCCAGGGGGGCTTTTGCCTTCATCCTTAACAGCTCTGCCTGGTACCTGCCAGCTCTTCCACATGCCCTGTGCCCTGGGATCACCCAGCACCCTTCAGTCCAGTCCTGGGGAGGGCTCAGGCAGCGTCAGCTTCACGTCACCTGCTCATTCACCCCTTCCTGCTGCAGAAGCATTGCAAATAGCAGGTGCCTTCTCTTGCTCAGAGCTGTTTTCTAGAGGCCAACTCTTGTGAAGGTGTGTTTTTTGTCTCTGCTGGGTCATGCAGCCCAGCCCAGCAGTCTGGGTATGTCAGAGGACAAGGCATGTACATATATTTTATACCTCGATGTGTTCCTGTAAATAGTGTAAGTTATTTTGGTCTCATGATGTACATGTTTTTACACTGGTTGTGGTTGGTCCTTGCCTTTTTGTCCTCACAAATATAATGTGCTGAGATGAAGCATCAGAGAAGAGATGGCTTTGAAGAGGGAAGAGCACAGCCAGAAACATTCTGGCAAAGGGGTTGGTGGAAAGGCTGGCTGAACTGATGTAGCTACAGCCCTTTGTGTGTTGGGAGAAGGTAACCTGCATCCTTACAGGCCCAGTCCTCAGTCAGTCAGGGTAGATGTGATTGCACTGGGGGGAACTTAAGGAGCGGAGGTGGAGGAAGCACAGACCCAGTCAGGCGCTCTCCTGGGCAGCATGTGCCCCCCCCCCCCCAAGACACTGGTCAACCAACCAGCCCCAGGCACTGCAGGGCAGGAAGGGGGGCAATGAGCTGTACCCACAGCCTAAACAGCCTCCACAGAAAGCTGTTTACTGACCATCACCTTGTGTTGGCAAGCACCCTTGGAACAGCCCTACCAACACGGAGACTTGTGTTTGACTAACCCACCTAAAGCTCTATGTGTGTACTGCCTGAGGAGCTCTCTCTCAGGCTCCCCAGTGTGCAGCTCCAAAAGTGAAAACATTAAGCCCCTCTTCCCATACCAAAAGTGCTAGGACAGAAAGCTGTCAGTGTCACCTACACACGGTGAACACTCAAACAGCCACATCAACATGGGGTCTGCATTTGTTCAGCCGCTTAATGCTCCTTCTGCATAATGCCAGTCTGGGGACCTCTCTAAGGCTCTCCATATTCCAGCTCCAAAAGTGACTGCATCCAGCCACTGTTCCTTCACCAAGGTGTCAGAACAGAAAGCTGGTGCTGGGCATCAGCTACATGTGGTGAACACCAGAACAGCCCCACCAACATGGGTTTCTGCGCACTGAGCACCATCAGGAAGTGGCAAGGCTGCACGGAAAAGGGATAAAGCGAGGAATAAGCTCCCTGTGGAGGAGTTGATCCCACCGCCACGGCTCGGCTGTGGGGGTGCTATGCCGAAGTCCATAAGGCCGCGTCTGGCGCGCAGGGAAGGAGAAGGAGCCCCTGGAGCAGCTTTACCGCGTGGGACCGCTGCTGGGGAGCCGCGGCTTCGGGTCCGTGTACTCGGGGGTCCGCCTGTCCGACAGCGCCCCGGTAAGTGGCGGGGCCGGCGCTGGGGCGGGGGGAGGCGGCGCGGCGGGGGCCAGCTCAGCCCAACGCTGCCCTTGGCTTGCAGGTGGCGATCAAACACGTGGCTCGGGACCGCATCTCCTCGTGGGGCGAGCTGGTGAGTGCGGGACCACCGGGACAGCGGGAGGGGAAACCGGGAGTCACCGGGGAAGGCGGAGCAGCCAGATGGGGGATGCCCGGTACCGATGGGGCCAAGCAGGGTGGCACCGGAGCATCCTCGGGGCAGGGGAGCACGGTACTGTTGTGGCCAGGCAGGAGGGCACTGGAGCATCCGCTGGATTGGGGGATGCCCAAGCACTGACAGGTCTGGGCAGGGGGACATGAGAGCATCCCCATGGCAGGGCGGCACCGGGTATTGGTGTGGCCAGGCAGAATGCACTGGAGCATACCTGGGGCAGGGGGACAGCCGGTACTGTTGCGGCTAGGCAGGAGGGCACTGGAGCATCTCCTGGATGCCCAAGCACGGGTAGGTCCAGGCAGGTGGATGCCAGAGCTTTTCCCAGGCTGGGGGATGCGTGGTACTGGTGAGGCAGTGCGGGGCGGCACTACACCATCCCCAGGGCAGGGGGTACCAGACCCCTGGTGCAGCATCAGCCCAGCTGATGGCATCATGGTCCCCCCGCAGCCCAACGGCACTCGAGTACCAATGGAGATAGCCATGCTGAAGAAGGTGGGCTCTGGCAGCAGCGCCATCATCCACCTCCTGGACTGGTTTGAGCTGCCCGACAGCTTCGTGCTGGTGCTGGAGCGTCCGGAGCCGTCGCAGGATCTGTTTGACTTCATCACGGAGCGGAGGTTCCTGCCTGAGGACCTGGCGCGGGGGCTGTTCCTCCAGGTACTGGAGGCTGTGCGACACTGCCACAGCTGCGGCATCGTGCACTGAGACATCAAGGACGAGAACATCATCATCAACCTGTCCACCGGAGAGCTCAAGCTCATCGACTTTGCCTCCAGCACCTTCCTCAAGGACACAGCCTACACCGAATTTGACGGTGAGCCCGGAGCTGGGGGGATGCTCCTGGTCCCGGGCAGTGCAGGGCTCAGCTTGGCTGGGCACCGGCAGTTCCCTGCGTTGCCGGAGGGGGAGTTCATTCTCCAGCAGCTGCCGACCTGCTTTTTGGTGTGGGACCACCAGTGCAACCCCACATACCCGGGGATGCTGGGGCAGGGATCCGGGAGCAAGCAGCATCCTCCTGCTGAGCTGTGCCTGTACCCTGTAAGAACAGGCGTGTACAGTCCACCAGAGTGGGTGCGCTACCATGGCCATCCAACGGCCATCTGGTCACTGGGCGTGCTGCTTTATGACATGGTCTGCAGGGATGTCCCCTTTGAGCACGATAAGGACATCATCGGTGGGGAGCTCTTCTTTTGGTGCCAGGTCTCTGTCAGTGGGTACCCAGGCTCACAGCACCGGGGAGAACGGGGTTTGGGAGGTGGCTCCGGCCACACGAGCATCCCACTCTGAGAGCTGTGGAGGAGGCTGATCTGCCTTGGTCAGCTGGAGGAGGCGGCACATGTCCTGCCAGCCTGCTCTTCTCAAGCACACATCACAGAGCACAAGGTTTGGGTGCAGCTCTGAGCACACCCAGCACCTCCTGAGCACTGCGGACAGGTGGACAGGAGCCTCCTGTGACTCACGGCAGGTCCCGGTTCTCTCCCCAGAGTGCCAGCACCTCATCCGGTGGTGTTTATCCCTGCACGCTTCCGACAGACCATCCCTGGAAGACATTTTCAACCACACGTGGCTGCAAGCCCTTCACCTGCCCCAGGAGACAGCCGACATCCACCTGCACAGCCTCATCCAGGAGCCTGGCAAGTGACAGCTTCAGGCAGCTCCTGGCCAGAAGCAGCAAAGAATCCCAGACTTGTCCTGCTGAGCACAGAACTGAGCAAGGATCCTCAGATGCACCTCGCACAGCTTGTCCTGGACCTCGTCTTCCAAGCACCAGTGGCCGCCATCCAGCCCGGCTGCCCTGGACTTTGTGTTGTTCCGTTTAGTTTGCTTTGGTTTGGTTTGTTCTGGTTTGTTTTCTGGGGGGGGGATCAGGGTTTGGCTTTGTCCAGTTTGGGTTTCAGGGGGACTGGGGTAGAGTTTTGGGGTTGGCTGTTTTTTTAGGGAGGTCTGGGATTTTGGGCAATTTGGGCTTTTTGGAGGGTGGGTTTTATCAGGGAGCTGGGTTGGGGGGTTGGGTGTAGTTCTTGTGTTTCGTTTTTTGTTGTTGTTTTGTTTTCTTTGTTTTGTTTCTGTTTCTGGGTTTGGAGGCTCCCAGGTGTCTCCTGACCTGCTGGATTCAGGAACACAAGAGGAACAGGGACCTTCTTGTGAGAAAAGCTTCAACAGGGAAGAACTGATGGCGGGGGGCAGGTCCAGGGTCGTGCCTCTTCTCCTCTGTCCCCCTGCTTGAGTGCCTTCAGTTGCCACCTGGGCTGTGCTGGAGGAAATACTTGAATTTTCCTACTCTGGTGCTTTCCCGAGACTCGCCTGGATGTACAGCTCCTTGCCAAGGAGCTCAGAGGACAGCGGGAGCCCAGCCGGGCGATGCCTCCTGTGCCTCCATCTCACGTGGATTTGTCTGGGGTTCCTTGCTTCTCTGTGCCCTCATGAATGCACAAACAATGCAAACCAACAGAGCTGTAAATATGGACAAAGTCAGAGAGGAGCAAAGTCTGTTGTACAGTTGTTAATAGTGCTAAGAATTGACCTTTTTTTTCTTGTTGCTCCAGGTTTGGTTTTTAACTTATTTTCATGAATTTGTTGTTTGTTTTGTTTTTTTTAAAGAGTTCTAGCCAGTGGGCAAAGTTATTTATTTATTTATAATTCCCATGGGTTTCCAACCCGCGCCTTGCTCCTGCAGCTGCTGATCCCCTGGTTTTCCATTTGGATCTTCCCTCCGTGTGTGTCCTGTGTCTGCCCCCAGCTCCGTAGTGTTCCTGTCAGCAGCCTGGTGGAGGTGTGGAGCAGCTCCTGCTCCCAGCTCCCTGTGCCCACAGTTGTGGTTGCTGGTGTTTCCCTGCCACGGGCAGGTTCTCAGCCTGGGATGGGGACTGCACACATGGACTGGAGGAAAGGAAAACTTGTTACACCCCTGTTTCTCCCTGATGGGGAGCTCACTGCCCTTTGGTAGGAGAGGATAAGCACATCACTGGGCCTGAGAATTCCTGGGGATTTTTATGAGGAAACCCCCCCACTTAATCATAGAATCAACTGGGTTGGAAAAGACCTTTAAGTTCATCAAGTCCAACCTTTTCCCATGACTGCCAAGGCCACCAGTCAGTCACCAAGGGCCTTTACGTGGTTTGTGAATATTTCAGTTCACTGTTGAACACTTGATTCACTGTTTCCTGCAGGAGCAGGATGGCCACAAGTCCCCACAGCCAAGGGATGCCCATGCCAGTGGTCCCCATCCCACGCTGCCTGATGAGGTGCCAGGGTTGCTGGCCACCCAGTATGAGAGTTTCTCCTCAGGGCATGAGAGGAACGGCATTGCCCTGGGCACTGGCAGGGCCCCCCGTCACCTGGGCAGTTTGTGGGGTTTTACAGCTCAGCTGAGGTTTGTTTTTCCCCAGTTTATCCCCGTTTATTCAGGGGTGACCACTTGTGCCTCACAGGTTGCCCACAATGGCGGCTCCTCGCTCACCCGGGTTGCCGCTATGAGAGGACATTCCGGCACCGGGGCTCGGCTGGGGACTGGAAATGACCCCAAATGGTGTTGAACCGCTGAGAGGACCAAGACAGCCCCAGCTGCCGGCGGAAGCACCCCTCGGACCGCACCACCCAGCCGCGCTGCCGCCTCCCGTTGTGCGCCTTGAGCTGCCTCCCGCCCCGTGCAGGTCTCTGCGCACCGCCTTCCCCCAGCTTTCTCCTCCCCTCCACCCTACCCGATGGTTTCGCCCAAGAGGTTGCTGGGCGTGTCCCCCCTTCCCCCCCGCAGCGTGAATGGTCTTTCCCGTTCCCCAGGGCGCACGGGCTGTGTTTAACTTTTCCCGCCCTGGCCTCTTCGCGGTCCCTCTGCCCCCTCCCTCCACCGCCTCAGCGCCGCTTTCCATTCCCCTCGGTGATAGCGGTTCGCTCCCTCTCCCTCCGCACGGAACAAGATGGTTTATCCCCTCCTCCCTCCCTCCTGGATGGTCTCTCCCGCCCCACACAGCCTCCCCGCCAGCCTTGCAGACCCCACCTCCTCAGAGACGTCATTCCCCCTCCCTCTCACGATTGGCCGCTCCTCAACGCCTTGCCCGAAGCGGCCAATGGCGGCGCTTTCTCCTCCGGGATCCAAGATGGCGCCGCCGGGGGCTGAGGGCGGGCGGCGCTGAGGCGGCCTGCGGGAGGCCGCCACCTTCCGTCGCGCTTTGCCGCTGCGCCGCGGGGCCGGCCGGCCGGTGGGCTCGCTTGCTCGCTGGCTGGCCGGCCGGCCGGGCCCGCCCCTCCCTTCCGCCATGGCGGCCGAGAGCGGCAGGCAGTTCTGGAAGCGGAGCGCCAAGCTGCCGGGCAGGTGAGCGCGGACACCCGGCCCGGCCGGTTCAGCCCCGGGAAGGGGCGCAGGGGCCCACCTGCGGGGCGTTGGGTGGGGGAGCGGGAGCGGGAGCGGCCCCTCTGCCTTGGGAACTGGGTGTCAGGGGCCGTGTTACCCCTGCAAGGGGGAGTTACAGGGATGTCACCCTGGTATGGGGTAGGGGAGCTGGTTGGGGGACCCCGACTTTCCCCCTGCAACGGGGACGATACCAGCCCTCCACACACCCCCCCCCTCCCCCAGGCTATGGGGCAGAGTATTGCTGCTGGCAGAAGTCCCACTGTATAGGGAACAAGGGTAGCTTCAGGATTGCCCCTCGTGTAGGGGGCTGTGGGGATCCCTGCCTGCAGGGGGAAGGGGGTCAGGCCCTCGAAGGCCCCCATGAGGTGGCCTCGGGCCAGGTTGTACCTTCCTCATTTCCACAGGTATTGAAGGAATCACGGCCCTTCTTGAAGCCCTTAGAGGTGTCACCTTGGGTGACAGCAGCTCTGTCCCAGAAAGGTGCCTTTGCCAATGCACGTGTCCCTCCCTTAACCTCTCCTATGCAGTGTCACTCCTGGCCCACCTCTGCTCAGCACTGGAGACTGTGGGACCTCTTTTTGTGTGCCCCCTCCTGCTTCAGTTCCTTTGGCTGTGATGTTCTGCTTCCTGTCAAGGCACCTGTGCTCTCCCGGGGATGGGAGAAACAAGTGAAATGTCTGATTCAGGTGGTGTTTAGGAAGAGGCTGGTGCTGATGAAGGAGATTCTCCCTACAGTCTTAGGGGAGCGGGCAACCAGCCAGCAAGGCTACCATGGGGAGAGGGCATCCAGCCCTCTGAGGAGGCTTTCACAAGTGCTATTGCCATCGAGTGCACCTTGTGTTTTCCTCTCGTTTGCCTTATCTGCACCCTGCCCGTCCCCTTCTGGTGTGTGGATGCAATTTGAAATGCTTAGTTGGCTTTAAATCCTGCTGGGCAAGTTAATTTTCTCTTCCTGATGTGCTGTCATTCAGGTCTTTGTCACTGCACTGGCTGGCTCCCTCAGGTTAGTGGGACAATCCAGGTCTGTGGCAAGCAAAGAGAAAGCAACAAGCACTACATGTTCCTCCTCTTCTGCTCACGGGGGAAGAAAATGCTGTGCTCTTCCTGGGTGATTTGGCTTCCTGTTTGCTCACATCTCTTACTCGAGGTCACAGCTGTGTTTCCAGCTCATAGTCTTGGACAGCAGCTCACTCCTGCAGTCAGTGACTTGGAGCTTTGGCTTGGAGAGCTCAAACCAGGTGAACCGGTCTGGGAGGCAGCTGGTCCTGCCTAGACAATAGACTGCAATGTCAGGTTTTTGGCAGAGTTCTCCCCTGTTCCTGGCTGGCTGCGTAGCAGCTATCCTGCTGTTCAGGAGCCTTCTCACGACCTCTAAATAAATGCCCTGTGCATTCCTGGGATGATTACTGACAGATTTTGGGCAACACAGCAGCCAAAGGTGGAGGTGGGACATGCTTGCATCCATAAGTGCTAGATGTAAAGCTCCCTTTCTGTTTTATATGAGGTTTAAGAGACCTTCCCGTACAGATTCTTGCCTCTCTTCTTCCTCTGCCTTGACAAGCAGGCAGAGGGAGGCTTCATCAAGATTTGGAAACTGTGTTAACTTCCTTTTCCATGCCACTTTGTACATTTGGTCACTTGGTTGTATTAGCTTTTAGTTGGGGCTTTTTCCCGGTAGATTTAGCATGGCAGAAGCAGTAAATGTCCTTTTACATTTTCAGTACTGTCCTGTAGTTTTTGCATTGGGAATTGTCACCCCAGTAATTCTCTAGGGATGTGGTGGCAGGTTGCTCTAGTGTGTTACCCTGTGTGATGGGTTGTTATTTCCTGCTGTTCAGAAAGGCAGTCAGTCTGGCTCCAGTGAGGGGTATTTAAATGCTGTTTTAAAAGGGGAGAAACAGACTTGACTAGGAGTAAATCTGATCTATGTCTGAAGTGGCACTTGAGGTTTCACAGATGTGCTTTCTGCTGCAGTGTCAACAACTGACGCCCTGTGGTGATCTCCTTGTGAGTAGCATAATGCAGGTACCACAGGCATTGTACCAGCACTGACCATATGGGTAAGAAGAAATTCCTGTCCAAAGAGCTTCAAATGAGACAGGACAGAGGGCTCATCCACACAGCATCAGCTCCTGACCCAGTGGTGTGTGTGTGTAATGCCTGCCCTTATGAAAGCTCATGCCCTGAGCTTTCTGTCCATGCAAAAGTGTGGCAAAACCAACTTCAGACAGGGGGTTAAGCTTGGAGACAACAGATTCATCTAGCCAAGCTGCATCAGGGAAAACCAGGCAAAAGTGAGTAAATGAAGTTAGTGAGCATCACTTGGTGATCGCTCCTTTGCCTCAGTGTTCTCAGTAGGTTGTGCTAATGTGGAGCTGTAGGATCTGCTGGGAGTCAGCTACAGGGATGTGAGCTGAAGGGGTGGGCTCCGGCATCGAGGGTACCACAGACACCGCAGCACAAGCTTGCTGTCTGGCGTCTATCTGCATGTGCTCATGTATCTTACAGACCTGTTGCACACTTCATTTGCACTCCTTCTGTCCAGCCTGTTATACCCTCTGCACGGGTGAATCTGGCAGAGAACTGGCAGAGATGGGACAAACATGGGGAGAACCCGCTTCATGCAGCAGTTCAAACTCATCAGCGCAGGATGGTGTTCAGCCCTGGCTCTGTAGCCTGCCGGAAACCAGACTGTCCCCTTCAGCCCCTTGTGTGAACACATTTGATCAGCTCAGGGTGCTTTGTCTTGGGGAGCTTGCATTCAAGCTCTTCAAAATGAGCTGCCTGGGAGGTGGGACCCTCTCTGTAGCCGTTAGCCAGCGTATTGCTTCAGAGCGTGAGGAAGGAGTTTCTTCACCCAGAGCTGCTGCCATATCCCCCCCTCTGTCTCTAACACATATCACACATTTGGCTTGTGGAGCTCAGGCTTTTGCACATGAGTTGGAAGTGGCTACCCGCTGTCAGCACAGAGAGGAACAGTGCTCTATGGCTGCTGTCACAAGACAGTGCAAGATTGGAGCTGGCTATCGAAGAGACTGCTGATTCCTCTCCTGCAAGGAGCTGCCATGAGTCACTGGGAAGCAGCACTGACATGGAGAGATTGTTTTTCTTACTCCTGATAATCTGCTTGCTGTGCCCACCCACGGGGGTGCCTCTGCTTAATAGCTGTCCTGACTTCTGGATGCTAATTAGTCAGCAAACTCCTTCCTAGGCTTGATGGCTGGTGGGGAAACACGGTGAGCCTTTTTAGTGCTTCCAGCCACGGGGGGTGGCTGCTGCAGCAGAGAGCCCACCCCTCACCAGGCTTCACCACCAGGCTCTCTCTGTGCTATGTTTGTTTCCAGCCTCTGCCCGTGATCTCTGTGTCTTTCCCTAGCCAGCTGGGCCTGTTTCTGCCACCCCGCTACCATCAACTGGTTCACGGTGTGCTTTCCAGCTGCACTAGGCTGCTGTTTCCCTCCTGCATGGCTGGGCTCTGCTTGTTTTACTGCTGGGCACCATCTGCACCTTCTGGAAATCAGGCCAGCTCTGTTGACCCAAGAAGAGCTTGTTCACTGTGTGCCAGCTCTGAATGGGCCCTTGTCTCTGCTGTGGGATGTGGGACTGTGCTTGTGTACCAGGGATGGGGAGGACTTGTTTTCCGAAGATGGGGTGGCTGTGGATAGTTACCCAAATTGAACTGATAACTTAGGATCCCTGTCTCACACGCAGAGCTTGTAAAACTAGTGATGAACATTCCTCTACTAGCTCCTCTCCAAGGGGATGCTCCCCATGCAGTGCCTGCAGCCCTTGGGCTCCCTGTCCCACCAGTCCCACTCCACAAGGAGCAGAACCAAGGGACTGGGATATGGTGTCTCATTTCAGACTGCATAGGAAGTGGTTGATTAAACTGGGATTTGGACCTGCGTCAAACCATGTGCTGTACCAGATGCTGCTTCGCCATAGCACTGGCTATGAGCCTGAGAGCCAGCATGGGGTTCAGACCCTCAGGTGTATTGTGGAGGAGCGCCAGTGTGCAACACCAGGGCTGGAGTTCTTCCCTGTCCTGCAGGGCTCGGAAGGGTGAATTCTGCATCCTAGAAATCCCCTTGTTAGAAAGGAGAATGATCCTCAGCATGTAAGGCAGTGGGACAGAGACGCATGGTCACTCAGAAAAAGAGCAGATCACAAATCCCAGCTCAGGCTGGAGAGAGGCTGAGAGTTTAAACAAGGCTTCTCTTTGCTGCTGCAGAGAGCAAATCTTCAGTTGAATGTGGCACTTTGGAGCTAAAGCTTTGCAGGTAGAAGCTGCTTTTGGTCTGTGTTCAGTTCCTGACAGCCGGCAAGAAGTGTGACCCCAGTCTGGGTTGGGGAGATTATTCATGGCTTTTTGCACGGTCTTCTATTTCTTTTTCTTTCTCCTTCCTACAGCATTCAACCTGTATATGGAGCACAGCATCCTCCTCTGGATCCCCGTCTCACCAAGAAGTAAGTGCTTAGCTTCTGGAGATGCAGGCCACAAGACTGCAGGTTTTTGGCTCAGTCCTGCAGTAGGTGGATGTCTTCAGCCTCCCCTGACACTGTGATACTCCAGTGGAGAAGGACAGCAGTGGGGTGCGACGCTGTGTTGAGCTCTGAAGAAATTTGCAGGGAAAGCTTATCTGCAGACGCCCTTTATGGCCAGAAACCCGGCCACATCAAAGGAGACAGGCGTAGTTTTTAGCAGTGGTGTCTGAACCCTCTGCTCCCCTTTGGAGACAGAAGAATTAAGGGAAGGGAGGGCGGTAAAGGTGCCTGGCTGCTGAGAGGCTGGAGAATCACAGCACGCCTCCCAGCAAGAAAAGGCAGAGCTGAACTGCTTCCTCGTCCCTATCTCATGCTGGATAGTGGTGAAGGTTCCCCCTTTCTGTGACGCTTCAGGCACTGGACTTTGACTCCTGTAGCTTGAGGATAAATACAAAGGCTCCACCTGTGCTTGAGAAGAGAACCAGGCTGGTTGGTGTGCTGGGAGCAGTTGCAGCTGTATCAGGGGTGTCCAAGAGCACAGACCAGCTTTGTCTGACCTGTGCCATGCCTCTCCCGAGGTTGCAAGTCCCTTTTGTGGGTGCTAATCTACCTGTTTTGTGTAGGGTGGAGGTGGTGGAGCTACAGGAGCTGTAGGCGTCTCCACTTTGCCCTGCTGGGCTGGGAAGCCTGGCATCTCTCCAGCTGCCAGTTGTGGCCTGTGTGCCCTGCCGTCATGTCAGGTTCTGCTTTGTGGCAGTGGACAGCCCAGAGAGGCTTAACATAGTCCTTGGGTTTGGGAGGAGGAACAGAGGAATTGGGAAAAGGGGCTGGCTGATTGAAGTGAGGGCATAGGGAAGGAAAGAAGATGGAATAATCTAACAGCATGGTTCTGATAGTGATTCTCTCTGGTTCTCAGTTTCATCAAGGACCGCTCCAAGGCCAATGCGCTGCCTATGAAAAGCAAGAAGGCCTCCAGCTTCCACGAGTTTGCCCGCAATACCAGTGATGCCTGGGACATTGGTGATGATGAAGATGAGGACTTCTCTTCTTCCTCTTCCTCTTTCCAGACTCTGAACTCTAAAGTGGCCAAGGCCACGGCAGCACAGGTACTAGAGAACCACAGCAAGCTACGGGCAAAACCCGAGCGAGCCCAGTCTGCTCTTGGTGACATGCCCACCAACTGCAAGGTAATCAAGTCCAGCAGTGAGGCCCAGCTCTCCAGGACATCTGGTAAGAGCCATTTTCTGAGCAGCTTACTGCTCCAGTGTTCTCCTAGTTCACTGCCAAACTCAGCTGCTTGCTGCTCCTCACATGTTATACGTGAGAAGCTTCGGCCCAGCCCATAAGCTCAACAGGGGCTTTCACCTGTTTGTAGTATCCTGTACTCCAAAGCATCCTGTGTTCTGTGTGCTAAGGGATTTTGGAGATCTGTTAAATTCTTGCTCAGGGTCTGCTTCCTTGGTGGCCCAGCATGCTGCTCTTAGTAAATGTCTGGGTGAGGTCCTGTTGACCCCAAGTCCATCCACCTTGGGCAGAGAGCTGGGCAGCATCAGCCCCTGCTCACTGTGCCTCGTCACACTGTGGCAGTAACTCAGCAGGTCCCTGCTGCCAGCAGGTGGCATTGGCAGCCCATTGCCTGCTTTCTATGCAAGCAATTAGCTTGGTCACTAGATCAGCGGTGGAGGTGGTTTCTTCTGGAACTGACACAGCTCCTTCTGCCTGTCTCCTGTGTCATGCTTCCCATGTGAAGAGGGAATTCTGATCCACTAGCAGCCAGGTGTCTGGGTGCAGGAGAAAGGAAAGGAAAGACAAATGATGGAAGAGCTGTAACAAATGCCTGTCAACCAGATGATCCATCAGAGTGGGCCAGTGATGCTCTGTTGCCTGGGGTGAAATCTGCAGTGGCAGGTCTCTGAGTGAAGTAGGTTTGGAGAGGTGCAGTCTCCTTCCCTATCTCACTGCAGCGTATGCTTCTTGCAGAGGAGGCCTGTGTGAGGACCCCCCTTCAGAAGCAGCAGTCCCTTCCCCTTCGGCCTGTCATTCCACTTGTTGCCCGAATCTCTGACCAAAATGCTTCGGGTGCTCCCCCAATGACAGTGAGGGAGAAAACCCGCCTGGAGAAGTTTCGGCAACTCCTCTCCAGCCACAACACAGACCTGGGTGAGTGTGGCAAAATGGGGGTGCCTGTGGGTGAGGAGGGGGCTGCTGCCTGCTTCAGATTGTAATCGGGTCTGCTCTGGAGTGGAAAAAAATACTCTCTGCAGTTGCAACAAGTGGTGTGGAGGCACAAACTGCTCTTTTGGCAGATGGCAACATCCTCCGCCAGCTCCTTGTCAGTTCTCAGTCTTCCTCCAATTCGCAAATGATGGCTGGGATCACTGGGGGCTGTCGGGCTCTGCATGAGAACTGAGGTTCCATCACATTGGAACCCCTGCAGGCACCAGTTCTGTGCCCAGGCTGAGCTGGAACTAGCTCTGCTCCCCTTGCTGCAGACCCACATCCCCAGCCATTGCTAATGTGGAGCCTTCCTGGAGGCTCAGTGTCACCAGAGCCTGCAGGAGCAGACTGGGCTTTCCTCTCCTTCTAGGTATAGTGGTGCCTGGACGTGCCTAGGATCTAATCCATTGCCACCACTGTCCGTTTGCAGATGAACTGAGAAAATGCAGCTGGCCTGGTGTGCCCAGAGAAGTCCGGCCTGTGACTTGGCGTCTCCTCTCAGTGAGTACTTGGAACTGTGATGCAGGAGACTGGGGGAGTGTGCCAAGCCAGAGACATGTGCTTCTTGTGTCCTGTAACCAGGTTTGCTCGTGTTGTGTCTGTACCCAGCCTATGCAGGGTTTTTTTGGTTGCGGAGTATAATTGCCACATCATCTTTCTGCACAAAGCCCATAGTGGTGCTAGGAATAGGTGGTTCACTCTGGTTTGGAAAGCTGAATTCCGTGGTATGTGTTGCTCCAGGGATCAGGAGCTGGGAGAGCCAAATCCCATGAAAGGTCTTTCCCCAGCTCCTGAGTCTGTGTGCCTGATGGTTCCAGCTGACAGGCAGGATCTCAAGGGATGCTTTAAGTTGAGGGAAGAGGCTCTGCCCTGACGCAGGTTTTCCTGCCACAGGGTTATCTCCCCGCAAATATGGAGCGGCGAAAGCTGACTTTGCAGCGCAAGCGGGAGGAATACTTTGGTTTCATCCAGCAGTATTATGATTCCCGGAATGAGGAGCATCATCAAGACACCTACCGACAGGTACAAGACCTACCCATGACAGGTAGAGACCTACCTCTGCCTGTTGCCTGGCTTTCTGCCTTGGTTATATCCCTTTCCTCCCTCTTGCCACTGCTTGTCCATACAGTTGGGGTCATGCCAGGACTTCCTCTAGATGTAGCTATTAGGAGGGAAAAGGGTACTGTGTTTCTATCCCTCTACTTGCAGGTATTAGTTTAACCCTTCCTTCAGTTGATCTAATAACTAGATTTTGGACCCCAGATCTGGTTACCTGCCCACACCTGAGCAGAGGAGATCGGAGATAAAACTGAACATGATTCTGTCATTGCAGCTGTAGCCCTCACTGTGCTTGTCAGCAAGTGCAGCTGTCACCTGGGGGACACTGAGGAGTGGATTCCCCTCTGTTAGCCTGTGATGAGTTAGTGTACCTCTGGAAGGCATGGCTCCCGTGTGTAACCCACCTTCTCTTCCAGATCCACATCGATATTCCAAGGACCAACCCACTCATCCCCCTCTTCCAGCAGCCGCTTGTCCAGGAGGTAAGGGAGAGGAAAGCTCCTGTCACACACACTGGCTGTGGGGTGTGTGTGTGGACAAGCTTCCCTGGCTGACAGCTCCTGATGCAGATACCTGCTGAAACTGGTCTTGTCCCATGTTTCTGAGGGACATCAGACTTGGAGCTCAGGGTTATGAGATCAGCTCTTCTGTGGTGAGATGTAGCCAAGAGTTGGCAGAAGACATGAGGCTTTTGTTTTGAGACAAATTCTAGACATTTGAACCAGAACAGGAGATCTGTTCTGTTTTGCTATGAAACCTCTTTTGTGTGAAGCACTCTGTGAGAAATCCAAGCAGGATTTAGAGAGATGACCGGGAGGCATAGTAGGCACATGTCCTCCTTGGAAACAAGCTCAGCATGTGTTTGTGGTATGTCAGAACATGGTGTCCTGGGGCTGAGGCAGTCTGGAAGGTTGTTACAGGGCCGCTGCTCTGTTGGAAACTCTCCTGATCTGTGATGTTTTGCTGGGAATACTGTGCTGATAACGGATAACAGCCTTAGCTTTCAACATCATGTTCAGCAAGGCATGCTGGTGTGCACAGGCAGCCCTCTCCTGTGGGTGGAAGGGTGTTAAACCACCTGGATCTTACAAAGTTGGGTCTGCATTTCTTCATCTGGGGCTTTGATGAGGAGCCTGGGCTGCCTTGTTCTGTGAAGTGTGGGCTGGCCTGTGTGGGGGATCTGTGGATCACACAGGAGGCTCTCCTAGGACTTGTATGCTTCTTATCTTACCCATATTGCTGCAGAAAAGCCTGTCTGTGCATGATTTCTGCTCCCTGAGCTTAGCGATTATGCTTTTCTGCCTTTCCTTTGTGCACGGCTAATGCAGGTACTTGCTTTCCCTCATTCTTCCCTAGATCTTTGAAAGAATCCTGTTTATCTGGGCCATTCGACACCCAGCCAGCGGCTATGTACAGGGAATCAATGACCTGGTCACTCCTTTCTTTGTTGTGTTCCTCTCTGAGTATGTTGGTAAGTGACATACCTTGCTTGAAGCACGTTGCTGCCTCTCCACAATGATGTTTGAAAGGGTGTGAAATGCTGGCATCAGAAAAGCTTGCCTTGCTGAGGGGATGTGTTAATCCTTCAGTGCCTGTGCCAGGCTGGAGATACATCCTGACATCTTACTGCCTGGTTGGATTGACTTCAGTTTGCTGAGCTCCACGAAAGTTGAAGTGCTGAGGGTAGATTTACATCTGAATGTGCTTAACATCTTTACAGCTTGGAGGAGAACTGAGACCTTTTAGTTGCTGAGAGTTTAGGCAAAGCCCTGATGATACAGAGTTGGGGGAAGGGAGGGTTTTGCTCTCAGAGCTTTGCTTTTGAGGTAGTTCTGGCTCTACAGGCTTTGAGGGAAGTATAAAGAGACCCTGCTGAGAATGCAAAAATAAACTATTGAAATGAAAGCTTCCTGGCCCGTGCTGCCTGTACAGGTGTGTTTCTCAAGCTGAGACTTTCAGAAAGCAAATTGACTTCTCCCTGCTGCTTTTGGCTTTCTTGACAGCCAGTTGCCTTTAGCTGGAGATCAAGTCATTTCCACCCATAATACTTTTCAGTCTCCAGCTCTAGCTGTGTTTTGGGCTTAACATTAATGCTGGGCCTCTGTAATCCCTATGCCTACAGGCTCTTAGTTTTCACTGTAAATAGAAGGAAAAAGGGAATTTGTAAGACAGTATTAGTGACAGAGAAATCCCGGGGAACAAATATTTTAAGGTCTCATCCAAAGCTTGTTGAAGTCAGTGGAAGCCTTCCACTGCCTAGCTGAGGCTTTGTAAACCAGTACAGATGTGCCTCACCTGAGCTTGCAAAGAGGTAAGCCAGCTTGGTTCTGCTGTGGTAGCCAGTGTGGTCAGGATTGATCCCCACAAAGTGTTGATGCTTCTCACAGCCTGAAGGACAAGGCACAAAATGTGGCCCTGCTATGAGCTGTGGTGAGTACCCTTTCTTGGGAATTCCCTTTCCTGGGAGGTCAGGAGCCTGTTGAGTCAGGTCTGGGCAGGTTCCCTTTAAGTTGCTTCTACCGCAGCACTTAGGCTTGGTGGAGGCTGGTTGCTCAGGATTGATTTATTGGGTTAGAAGCAGGGCTGTGCACAGTGAGTTATCTCTGCAAGGAGGGAGCTAGTCTGAAGCATCAGAGCTGCCTGCAGGTACCTGGTGTGACTTCTTGCAGCCCTGTACTGTGCTAAGGCTCAACTCTCTGTGTGTGGCAGAGTTTGTGTTGCATCAGCCCAGTCTACCTCTTGCTGGTGTGTGCTTCTCACCATCTTCCAGGGCTGTTTTCACCCGTGCCTGAAGTTTCCTCTCTGAATGTGGTCATCCTGCTTCCAGCTATCTCTGAAACTTGTGTTGGAGAAAAAAAAAGTGTGAGAAAAACCTGTTGAGTTGAACTTGGCCAAACAATATCATGCATCCCCTTCTGGCCCCAGAGCCTGGGACACAAAGCCAGCCTTCAGGTGACAGTCTGCCTTGGTGGCTCCCTGCTCTGGCTGTGTAGCAGTTAGAGTTTAAGGACAAGATCAGTAATTGCCTTGAATGTATATGGGAACGAATTGGCAGTGCTCAGTGCCATATAACCCCTTTTGCAACAGGATTTAAGTCTCTGGCTTGGATCACTGGCTCTTCTTTACAGCTGCCTTTGCTGACAGGCCCTTGAAGAGCTGGTGCTGTGCAGGTCTGGAGGCTCTCCTTGTTAGATCACTAATTCTCAGGATTCCTGGGTCAGCCAAATCTGCGCTGCATCCGAGTCCTTGCAGCAGGAGAGTCCAAAGAGGCCTTGTGCACTTTGGTAACCCTTGTGCAGCATGTGCCAGTGGACAACTCTCCTTTCTGTGGGAAGTCTCTTGTTTAAAGGAAATTCTGCCTGTATTCAAGCTGTATCCCTGGCACAGTCAGGCAGCTATTTGAGGGCTCATACCCCTGTCATCTGAGGTTATTTCCACATTCAAAGGTGTATGTAGAGCTGGCCTGGAAAAGTTTTCCTTGAAAGCTGGCTCTATGAAATTGACACCATCTTCAAACCTCTAGTTTTGCTACCCCTGTTCTTGAGACTAGGATTTTGTTAAATGGATCCACTGTGCAGGCTACTCAGCTCACCTGCCCACCAGCTTCCCTGGATGTTTGTGTGGAGCTCTGAAGGGCTGTCCCTGCAGCAGCTGACTCAGCAGGACCATCACAGCCCTTTGGGGACCATGGTGTGCAGGTATGAGTGAGCTGACAGGCAGAGGTGGAGTTTGCAAGCTGTTGACTTTGGTTAGCTGCTCAGCACAAAGCCAGGCTGGCACCCTGGTCTCCTGCTGTTCAGTCTAGTGGCTTCTCATAAAGCAGTCTCTGATAATGGGCTGGTTTCCATCTCCAATTTCTTTGTAGACTTCTAACCCATCATAGCATCAACCAGGTTGGAGAAGCCCTTTAAGCTCATCCAGTCCAACCATTCCCCAGCTCTGCCAAGGCTACCGCTAACCCATGAGGGCCTCGTCTCCACGCTGTGTGAACACTTGCAGGGATGGTGACTGCAGCCCTGCCCTGGGCAGCCTGTTCCAATGCCTGAGCACCCTTTGGGGTGGGAATTGTTCCTCATCTCCATATAAACCTGCCCTGGTGCAGCTTGAGGCCATTTCCTCTTGTCCTGTCACTTGTTCCTTGCGGGCAGAGACCACCCCCTACCTCACTCTATCCTTCTTTCAGATAGTTGTAGAGAGTGATAAGGTCTCCCCTGAGCCTTCTCTCATGCTCCATCATCCCATGCTTTGAGCAGGCATTGCATTTGCAGACAACAAATCCACTTTTCTACAGATCAATTAAAATCTCTGCTTGGTGCTTATCAGCTGATCAATGTGTCTGGTTAATGGTGTGTCCATTATACATCAGTATACGATATTACGATATTACAAGACCATGGCCTAAAACATAAGAGGGTTTGTCTGGCTTCCCACCAAGGGCTCGAACATGCCCATAGGCAAAAGGTGGGTGCCTTGGGGAGGGGATGGTCTGTAGCTTTCCAGGCACCTTCAGGGAACAGTTTGGCAGCTTCCTTTCACTGAAGCTGACATGAGTAAAGATCCATCAGTCAACAGTAACCAAGCCAACACCCAGGCTCTTGTGTGCAGAGGGATTGAACAGCTTTGCTCAGGGTAGTAGTTACAGCAGTCTGGCTTTGTATACTGCTGAGTCTTTGACTTGATGCCCTTCCATCCTCACTGTAGAAGATGGGGAGGGGAAGGGTGGAAGCCTGTCTGGGTCCTGAAGGAGGTAAATGGACCAGTGGGTGAAGCATACTCGCAGGAAGCTATTTCTTCTGACTGCCCCATGGTCCTTTGGGAACTGGATGACCCTGTTATTAGCCTGCATTTCCCCAGCTTAACCAAAGGGGTCCTGTTAGTATTGCTATTCTATTTCTGAGCAATGCCTTGAAACCAGTGTGTGTGCCCCTTCAACCAGCGCCAACTAGGCTGAAGCAGGGAGGAGCTGCTCTTCCCCTGAGCTTCCAGTCCCCATGTCTGAACTCCTCTGCCCCTTTTTCTGGTGCCAGTCGGTACCAGTTGCTTTTCCTTTACTTGTGCCCAGTCTAGATGCCAAACTTATGCTCCTTTAGGTGCTGGGCAGACACCTGTGACTTCTGCCCCTTGGCAGATGGGATAGATTTAATTGCTGTGTTTTAACCTTTCCCCCATCATGGCTCACCTCCTGCGATGCTCTACCTGTCTGCTGCACCAACACGGCTACTTGGCAGCAAGCATGGGGGCTTTGGGCCCCTGCCACCATCAGATCCGTAGCTGGAGTGATTCCTCCTCCTCATGATTGACAGCTTCTGCTTATGCTGCCATGGGGAAGAGCTCGAGGGAGGTATTAAGGCCACAGGAGCAGCTGAGTCTACTGTTCTTGCTCTCTAGATGGGATGGGTGCAGTGGTGCTGCTGGGCAGTCAGAGCCTGAGCAGTAAGGATGGAGAGAGACAGTCTGGCATCTGAGGAACTGGGGCAAGGCTGACACCCTGCCAGAGGAAACCGTATGCTCCTTTTTCCAGGTGATCAGAGATGGCCCAGCAAGCACAGGGATGCTGAGCCCTCAGTCCTCCTTAAACTGCTCCCAGCTCATTTCCCACAGCCCTTCAGAGTCACCCCCAGCAATCAGGGCTTGTGTTTGCATTTCAAATGGCAGTGACAGAGCTCAGAAATTCGTTCAGCAGCCCAAGGCAGTGCCAGTGCTGGCTCTGTGCCCTCTCCCAGTGCTCTCTGCCCATCTAAATGTATGACACCACTTCCATTACTCATCCAAGGCCTTGTGTAACGGATTGTTTCAGCTTTGGGCTCTGTTTGGCATTTCACTAAGCCTATAAAAGAGGCAGCAGCATGGAAAGGACTGATCTTGCTCGCCCCTGACTGGCTTTTGTAACTAAATCCTGACTGTGGTTAAACTAAGACTGTCTCCCTCTAAACAGAAGCGTAAGTGGAACCTGGGGGAAGGGAAGCCTCGTACCTGGGCGTTACTACTCACACTGCAGTTTACCAGCTTAGGCTGTAACATCAGTCTTGTTCTGAACTCCAGGTTTGCCCTGGATCTGCCCTTCACTGCACACGGTGCAGACGTGCCCATTACTACACAGGGCTGTGAGCCGAGACTGGGTTTAACTGTTCCCCATGTGTCTAGTCCTGCACTGAGCATGGGGAGTCAGTAAAGCTCCCTGAGGGCAAGCAGGTACTGAGTCCTGGTACCTCTTATCTGCTCCAAGCTATTCCCTGCCTGGCATTTGGAGCAAGGGCTCAAGTGGGATTGTGATGTCCCTTCTCTTGTGTCTGCCCTGAGTCCTGATGAAATGTCACTCGCAGGACCTGTACTTTCTCCAGCTGCCCTGAGGCACCCTGGGACACTGCCAGCAGTGTCATTGTGCCACTGGCTCCCTTTCAGTCCCTGCCAGAACCCTGTTGAGCAGCTCCCTCCTTTCCACAGGGCTACTTGAATGATGCCACTGAGCAATGTTTGTGTTCAGCCACACACTCCAGCAGCCTTCCTGCAGTGTATGTTGGCTCATGCTGGGCACCTCCTATCCCTGTTTTGCTTTGACAACAGGGTGCTGGCAGAGTTGCTTCTCCTGTCCCTATACTGGTGCAAGCAGCAGGGTGTTCCCCGTCACCTTGGTAGTTCACCACATCCTCTTCCCCATCACGATCCTCATGCCTGGAGCTGAATGGAGCTCATCCTGCGTGGCTCAGCCTCCTCCCTCCTCCCCCCCAGCCAGTTCTAGCTACTAGCATATGGCCCTGTCCCCTTCTTTTGCCTGTCCATCCTTCTTTCTCTGTGAGGGAAGTTATCTAGGGAAGGATTTTGCCTGCCTTTCTCATTATCAGGAATATTTGTGAGTCCCTGCAGAGAAGGTAGTAGAAGAGTGATAGCTTTGGATGATGACCTGCAGCTGTAGAAGAGCTTTGCTGATCTTTCTGCAGTTCAAGCTTGCTAGATTAATGCAGAGGTAAGCCCTTGCTTGTCGCTAAAGCTCCTGGTGGCATTTTGCTCTGGAGCTGAGCCCTGTCCCAGAGGAGGAGCAGAGACTGGCTCTGCACTTCCTGTCCTCCTGTACGCAAGATCTGTTAGTGTGAGTTTTCACCTAAACCAAGAGTGCGGCCTGGCTCTAGCCCCAATCCCTTTCCTCTTCTTCTCTTGTTCTTTTCCAAGGAAGTTCAGACACTTGTTAGGCTTTCCGTACCTCTGGGTTTGGAAATGGGCCAGTTTAGTCCTGTCATCTGTTGGTCTGATTTAGCACTGTGTTGGGTGCTCTCCTGAGGAAGAAAGGGAAGGGAGCTGCTGGGTCTGCCAAGCCAGGAGGGCCAGACCTGTGTCTCCTGAGTCTCCTCCCTGTTTCCACTGCCTTTTACAGCCCCAGGTTATGGTGAACTTGGCCTGGAGCAGGTGATACCTGCTCCAAATTCAGCTAGCATCACCACCATCCTACCCTTGAGGTTTCTGATCTCTCCCTTCCCCTTCTTGCAGGTTCATAAGCCCATGTAAAAGCAGGGGCAGCCTTTTGCACTCTGTGAGTACCCTTTGGGGGCAGAGCTGCCACTAACCCTTGTGCTTTCTGACCCCCATTTCACTGGCTTTGGAAAACAAGCTTGCACAAATCACTGCTTCCCCTTCAGCAAAGTTCTGTGCTTGGGGCTGCTGTTTGCTGGATCTCTCCCATCATCTGGGCTTGAGGAGGAGAAGATGTGAAGCTGAGCAGCCTCTCTGCTGCGTGTCCCCACTGTCAGGCTTCGAGCTGGATTTAACTCGGAGCCTTTTTGCTCTCTAGGAAGATGTCTGTCGGCTTTTGGGACTTGCAACTGTGCCTCAAAGTCCTGCTCTCCCATAGAGGGTTCTGATGCTTTGGCAGTCACTTTTTAGGTGACACTATTGTGCTTCAGTCCTGGGATGATGCTGGTGAATCTGACTGGGTGCAGGCACTGAGCTGCCCCAGGTCACGGGCAGTGTTTCCCTCCCTGGTTTCTTGCTGCAGTGGGAGGTGCGTCTCTCCCAGCTCTCCCTGTGGTGCTTGCAGAGACCTGCCATCACCTGAGGTGGGATGTGGTCTGGCTAGAGGGGTCCCGTATGCAGCTTTGTCCATGCACAGCCCCTGCCCCAGAGGGAATGTGACAGCAGCAGCACTGTGGGATCCCTCCCACAGCACCCTGGAGATCTGGGCTGGTTTCGGATCGTGGCCACTGAGTCTTTTGGGATCCTTCAGCCCTTCACTTGGGTTGGAGAAATAGGTCACTGCACGGGTGCTGTGCTCTGGGCCAGGCAGGGAGCCTCATAGCTTGCCTTTGTCTTGATAAAGTCTCTCAGCGTGTCCTGTGAGCTGCCTGATGTCCCCACCCTCCTGATGCTCTTCCCTCTCTGTTCTGCAGAGGAGGATGTGGAGAACTTTGATGTGACGAACCTGTCGCAGGATGTGTTACGGAGCATTGAAGCTGACAGCTTCTGGTGCATGAGCAAGCTGCTGGATGGGATTCAGGTGAGCTCTGGGGCCCTGGGGGGGGTGTCTCTCCCTTTGATATGGTGAGTGCTCTGCATGTGCCAGCATTAGGAAGATTTTGCTATTTCACTGAGCTAAATCTGTGGGTAAAATCCTGTGCCTCTCGAACCAGCACTGTCCTGACTAGGGATTCACAGCAGGCAGATGATCCTGGTGCTCAAAAGTTGTGTATCCATGACTCATGGTGCTGTTGGAGCTGCAGATGTGGTTTGGGTCATTTCTAGCTGTTGTTAGAGCTGCTGCTTCTGACTCCTGGCCTCTCCCCACAGGATAACTACACCTTTGCTCAGCCAGGGATCCAGAAGAAAGTCAAAGCCCTGGAGGAGCTAGTGAGCCGGATCGATGGTAGGTGACATGGGGATCTGAGCAGGTTGTCACAACACTGGGGGGGGGCTCCTTTGCAAGTAGCACCCTCAGGGCAGGGGTAGACTCTTTCCTGCAATGGTATAGAAGCAGAGCGCAGGGTAGGGTCAGCCAGGAACCTCCTGGGACAGGGTTTTGCTGCCCAGGATGAGGAGTGGAGGTGTTTTGGAGAACAAGGTCTCATCCTGAAAGCCCGTGCTGTGTTCCTCAGGTGTGTAAGTGAAATGTGCTGTTTCAGAGCAGGTACACAATCACTTTAGGAAGTACGAGGTCGAATACCTGCAGTTTGCCTTTCGCTGGATGAACAATCTGCTGATGAGGGAGCTGCCTCTTCGCTGCACCATCCGCCTCTGGGACACCTACCAGGTACACAGGCTCCTGCTGCCTTCCCTGCTTGGCTGGTCACTCCAGGACTGATTCTGTGTGCACGGTGGGATGCAAGTTATCTGGTAACTGGGGAGATCATGGAATCATAGAATAGTTATGGTTGTAAAGGACCTTAAGATCATCCAGTTCCAACCCCCTGCAATGGGAAGGGACTCCTCACTTTAAACCATGTTGCCCAAGGCTCTGTCCAGCCTGGCCTTGAACCCTGCCAGGGATGGAGCATGTATCACTTCTTTAGGCAGCCTGTTTCAGTGTCTCACCAGACTCACAGTAAAGAACTTCCTTATATCCAACCTGAGCTATCTCTAAGTTTGAACCCATTACCCCTTGTCCTATCACTGCAGTCCCTGATGAAGAGTCCCTCTCCAGCATCCTTGTAGCCCCCTTCAGACACTGGAAGCTGCTCTGAGGTCTCCACCCAGCTTCTCTTCTCCAGGCTGAACAGCCCCAGTGTTCTCAGCCTGGCTCCATACAGGAGGTGCTCCAGCCCCTGAGCATCCTCCTGGCCTCCTCTGGCCTTGCTCCAACAGCTCCGTGTCCTTCTTATGTTGAGAACACCAGAACCGCACACAGTGCTGCAAGTGGGATCTCGTGAGAGCAGAGTAGAGGGGTGTGACGAAGGAAGCAAAGCAACGTGGCCCTGGGACATTGATAGCCAGTTAGGTGATAGGTGGCCCAGCAGGATATATGTGTCCAGGGAGGTCATGACACAGAGCTTTGCTGTCCACAGTCAGAGCCAGAAGGATTCTCACATTTCCACCTGTATGTCTGCGCTGCCTTCTTGATCAAGTGGCGAAAGGAGATCCTAGATGAGGAAGATTTCCAAGTAAGACCTTGGGGCTGGGGATAATTCCCTGGTGGTGAGGGGAGGGAATTGCTTTGGTTGGAGGCCAAGGTGGATGGAGTCAGCCATCACCTCGGAGCTGTCTCCAAGATCATTCTGTCTCAGGATCCTTGCCTAAAAGTAACTACTGAGCTGAGGGCTCAGGATAGAACTGAGCTGTTGGAGAGTTCTGACATCAAATATCAGCTCTAATCAGGGTAAGTCGCTTGATGTCCAGCCTTCTGGTGTCCAGCTATGGAAGCATCCTTTATCTCAAGGGATTTTGGGGCATCTGAGGTGTTCCACTGATTGGGATCTAGACATGAGCATACCTTAATGCTGTCTGTGAGCAAGTTATTGATTGCTGCTGCCCTGAGCCTGCTCTGGATCTATTCTCTGCCTTCAAGCTCCCCAAACTGAGCACCTTCCCCTCTTTCAGGGCCTTCTGATGTTATTACAAAACCTGCCAACAATACACTGGGGTAATGAAGAGATTGGACTCCTGCTCGCTGAAGCCTACAGACTCAAGTACATGTTTGCAGATGCCCCCAATCATTACCGCCGATAGGTGCCAGGACTCAACTCCCTCCTTTTCCCCATGTCCAGCCCTTGTCCTGGCCCAATCTGATCACTGTGGCATTTCTGTCATCCAAGTCCTGGGACACTCTGGCCAGGAGCTGCTCCTCGCTGTACAAAGCTCACATTGACTCTTGTCTTAACTCTTAACGTGTGCCTGTCTGCCACTCCATGCGCCTGGATGTGCCACTCCAGTGACCGTCAGTATTCCATGCCAAGCCAGGGAGAGAGGCGTGAAAGGGCTGTGAGAGGACATTGGGGGGCAGCTTTACAGATAAACTGAGCTGAGGACGAAGCCCTCCTACCCTCTCCACCCTGTATGCTGGGCTGGGACCACTTTGGCTTCGCTGCCTCGTGTTACCCTGTCACCACGTGCGCTGCCATATCTGCTCCCTTCTCTCTTCTGCCACTGGTCGCTCCAGCTCCCAGATGAAAAATGCCTTATGAGAGACCTGCCTGGCTGGAAAATCCTTCCCCTGAGGGCAGCAGGGCAAGAAGCTGCTCTCAGGGCCTGGCTTCACTCCCAGGGTCCGGACACCCCAAGCACTTTGTGGGTTCACAAGAGAACCCCTTGCACCTGCTCTGTGTCCTCCTCATCCTCTTCACCTCCCTCTCCCCCAGGCAGTGGGGTGAGCATGGCCCAAGACGGGGGGGGGGCAACTCCATCACATCCAATGATGCATGTCAGCTTCACAGGACTTCCTGTGACTGATGTGCTGTTGGTACAGCCCCCCTGTCATGGCAGGAGGCGGGGGGAGCTGGAAGGGGAGCAGCATCTCTCACTCCCCCCTTGCAAAGCCCCTGTTCCTCTGAGACATTCTGTGTATATTGTGTTCTTGTGTATATGGGTTAAAGATGTACAATATACGTCTTATGTTTGTAGCAGATCATGATTTTATATTTATAACATGCACTCCTTGTTCTCCTCATCCTCTCCATGCCTGGGAAGGGTGCCTGGTTACAGCATCATAGGGCTTTGGACCTCTCCAGACATGGGGGGGGGGGGGGGGGGGGGGCGTTTTGGACCCACGGCGTGTGTGTGCAGTGTGGGACTTGCCAGGAAGAGCTGCAATGGAAACATGGATCTCAAAGCTTCCCTCCAAAGAGGATTTGGGTGCTTAAAGGAGATGGGAAGCAGGGTAGAGCCATGTCCAGGGAAAAGGGTATCCCGTCTTGTCTGCTGCTGGCTCCGAGACCAGTGGAACTATCTGGGGAGGAACAATCCAGGATCCAGCGCTGGCTGCCCCGCCATTCCCCAGCCCTATGGATGTGTCCTCCAGGGCTTCTCCCAGCAAGGAGCAGGCTGCCCTCACCACCATCTGCTCTTAAACCAGTTGTGGATGTTTTAACCAGCTGCGTTCTTCCTGCTGGCCACATCCTGATCGGGGGCTGGGGGTGGATCCAGGCCATGTGGGCTGTCACCAGGGCCTGGAGCTTCCCGGTCCCTCCGTATTCCATTGCTGTTCCCAGTGGGAAGAGGCAGCGGGGCTGCGAGGCCGGGGTTGAGCATGTGAAAGGCAGAGCCTTGTTGCCAATAAAACTCCAAATAGTGTCTCAAGAAATTGCTTTCCCAACCTGGAGTTGTTCTTCACAGGCTTTTAGTTGGGACTTTTGCAGGTGCCTTTTGTTGCTTTCTCCATGGGACAGACCTGGTGAGCTGCAGTGAGACGTGACAAAGGGAGAGAAGAAATAACCCACCCAAACTCAACAACAGCTCTGGGCTTGGGGCATGTGCTTGTGGTGGGGTTGAGAGGGGTGTTTGAGGGGCCTCAGGTGTGGTTGTGCCTCAGTTTCCTCACCTGTAAAGCAAGGTGGGGGGGGGTCTCAGCTGTGGAAATTGCTGGTTTGTCAGGAGAGGGCTTGGCCTTTCCAAGAGCTCCAAGAAGGGCCTGAGACAGCCCTAAGCCACCCGATCCCTGCCCAAGCCTCTGCAGTCAGTCTCCAAGCTGCTTAATTTGTGTTTCAGCCTATTTACCTTGATGGGATTTACTGAGACGGGTTGTCCCGGTGCCACCCAGCACCGGGGTGATGCCAATGATACCACCCAAAAACCTGCCTGAGACCCCCCCACCCTCTATCCACCCTCCCCCCTCCACTCCCATCTCCCCCCTTTCAGGCCTGGGCGATGAAGCTGATTCTGCAGCTGAAAGATGCCATCGTCGTGGAAACCTTGGAGCTGCAGAGCTATTCGGGAAGTCACCATCTCATTTGTTAAAGAGGAAAAGATGGGGTGGGAGGGGGAAGCTATTTTATTAAAGTGCAATAATTCTAACCCGAAATGATGCCAGCAGGGAGGTCTATGGGCAGTAGTCCATGGATGCTGTTTTCCGGTGCTGTCCTCTGGAGAACAGGTGCCCAACATCCCTCTTGCTGATAAATCCTCCTTGGTTTTGCAACAGGTGGAAATGATAGAAAGTAAATTGAAGAATTCCCCCTTTAATACCTTGCCCATCCCCTGCTGCTCTCCTTGAGCCAGGGGTCCTGGTGGTGCAGCACCACCTGCAGCAACACCAGCCTGTGCAGGAGGGAAAAATGCATCTTTGGGAAGAGACAAGGCAAGAGCTCTGCTGAGGAACCCCCAGGTCCACCAAGGCATCACCAGGAGGTGGGACTGAAGCCCCATATTCCCAATTCCCATCCCTTTAGGGGCTCTCAGCCAGCCCCAGGCCAGAGGGCTCGCATCTTCCACCACCCAATGTTGTCACCCGTTGCACACGGAGCAAACACCTTCTGGAGATGCTCCTTCCATGGGTCCCTTCCCTATCGTTGCTCTTTTCACCTGCAACTGGGATGACTGGGATGAACAAAATCCACCATGGTGAGCGATGTCCTTGACCTCAGTTCAACAATAACAAGGAAGGGCTCTGATTTTATACATTAGAACATTTATTTCTCAGAGAGAAAATATAGTCTCAGACAGTCAGATTATAGTAGGTAAAATTAGCATCTTCTTTTCAAGCATAGATTTTCTTAATTCTCTTATACCATCTGATATAAACAATTCTAGAAAGCAAATAAACTCACTTTCTACAATAAATAGAGCGCTCTGTGCTTTACAGCAGACTGACAGTAACATTTGGGTCCCGGAGTAACAGCAGGATATCAGCCAATTCCAAGCCTAAAATGGCATTTCAACACCAAACCAACCCCCCCAAAACCCCAGTTCCCAAGATCCTAAAACATATACACAGGTCACGAGTCCACAGCTGAGCTACCACCTGCAAAGTGTATGTTCCTTTAAATAAATTACACTGGGGGCATATAAAAGACCCAGCAACACAACTGAGGACTTCAAGAATGGTGACAAGAGGTCTAAATAATTTAGAACAGTATTTTACAGCTATTTACACACTGTCCTTCCCTTGCCACACTCCATAGGCATTATTAATATTTTTACAAAATCCTACGCCCCATCTCTATATGTTACAGGAATCTCTTCCTTAAAGTGTGGTTCCACATCCCAATGTATAAGAAGTGGTATCTTAAAAAAGTAGACCAAGTAGAAATGGCAGTGATTACTCCCCATTAGTCATTAGCAATTATTATTATTTTGAACACCCCCCCCCCCACATTCTCTTCAGTATGAAAAAGTTAAAATAATAAAAAAATACTGAGTTAAAAAGTGAAGTGATGATAATTCAGTCTACAATCTTGCTCTGCACCTTTGGTTCTTCACATGGGAAAGCAAAAAGGGATACACAGGACAAGAAACCACCAAGTCCTTGGCTAATAGAAAAGATTTTGTCATCAAGTTTCCAAACACGAGTTGTCCCTATTTTTTGCAACGCAAACCCAAAAAGCCAGGGATTGTCTGCAGAGCTGGGGTTTGGGTATCAATGGGTGACAGTGCTGGAGACCCACACACTGGGGAACGGATACATGTGCATGGGAGAAGGAAGAAAGGCAAAATGGTCATGTGCTCTATTGAGTGCTTGGTTTCAACCCAACCCAAGCCAGAAGAACACAGCAGGGACAGAAAAAAAGGAAGAAAAGAAGAGGAGCCTTACACCAGATGTGCATAAGCAACACAAAAGATGTACCTACCTCCAACCCTGATCAACCTCAGTGCCTGCAAAGCTGCTCCAGCTCATCAGACACCTCTAAAATTAGTTTTGCTTCTTAAAAGAAGGAAGCTCTCTTTGCTTAGACTCAGTTCTGTACTAAACCATGACACGAAATGCTGGAGCAAGTACAGGCACAGAAATCAGCATATAAATGTGAAACTACCAAAAAAATGACTAGGACATACACACACACACACACAAATCAGGTACTTTGCTTTCCGTATTTAAAGCTCTTTCATGTGTGTGCAGCAGAGGGGAAGGTTACCAAAATATCTCAAGCTTTTGTAAACTAAATGAGAGAAATCGAACATGAAAACACTATGGACGTAGCCAGGAAGATCAGAGGGTGAACTCTCAGCTACGCCTTTTGGTTTTGAATGTGATGGAACGATCAATGTCATTTAAAACAAAGTAAAATGAAAAGGCCAATGATGGTTTGGGTAAATTTGGCACAAGAAAGTCCAGTTGCGATTTCCATAAAGGATCCTGGTTCAGTTACAGTGGTCACGGGTTCCTGGGAATTACTCAGGGCTGGTTGATGACCCCCTGAAGGAGGTGCCTGAGGTCCAAACATCCCAGTGCTGTGCTCTGCTCACCACATTGGCTCACCTTCACCAGGCAGCTTCTCCTAACTACCTTCCTCCTGGCCCTGCAGACTCTACATTTCACCTCCTGCCAGCTCTTCAGTGAGACACATTCAGAAAGAAGCTGGACCCGCTTTTTGGCACATTTCAGGGTACTTCAAGGAGTGCTGACAACCACTGGGATCAGTGCCCCTGGCCAGTCAGTGCACGCAGTGATCCGCTCTGCCACTGCAGCGAGCGCGGGCTCTGGAGAAAAAGGAGGACCAGCCGCCCCGAGCCCTTACAGGTAGCTGGATGTAAGGAAGGGATGATCCCCCCGCACACGGCTCATGTGGATCATGGCTCGGTCGTATGCCACCTGCACAGATTTGCGGATGCTGGTTTTCCGTCCTTCCATCATCTTTAACTTATCCACTGTGTCATCCACACCGAGGGGATAGACTTTGTCACGTGGAAGCCACTGCCTGCAACAGAGTGCAAAGCCCAGTCACCAAGGACATCCAGAGGGGAAGGGGGAAGGAAGAACAAAGACCTGAAGGCCTCCTGCCTTGTAATCATAGAATCAACAAAGCTGGCAAAGACCTTTAAGATCATCAAAGTGCATCTGTTCCGCAGCACTGCCAAGGCTACCACTGACCCATGTCACTGAAGGCCTCCCAAGCTCCCTGCAGGAGACTGACTGCTCCAGTGTGCCTGGCTCTCATACCCACCCTAAGTGGCTCCTTAAGAGTGTAAACATTCATCAGAGCAGGGCAAAGCTAAGGAGATGGTGATTTTCCTTGGGAAGGCAGTTTCAATTTCAAGTCTGGTTAAATAATCCAGTGGGCTCAGCATGTGGCTGCTGCCTCACTACGGGGACTCACCTCTTCCAGCGCAATTCTCCAGTGTTGCAATTTTCCTATTGCTTCATACACGGATTTCAAAGCTTTATTTTTTAAGGGACATCACTGGTTTGTGGCTTATTATACGTGGCTGGGTTATTGTTACCATGTGAGCATGGTAACATGGTCAGCCACTGATATTAAAACCAGCAGATGCAGTCTGAGATAGAACAGGCCTTGAGGTATTTTGCTTGCCCTGAACCAGGTGCTTACACCTACGTTTCCGTCTTACATAAATGCCTTGATTTGAAAATTGCAGGTACTCAGCACCTCTGACAAAATCAGGCAAGTCTAAATATGGAATAAACCCAGCATTTGGAAAATGTTACCCTGGAGATTTTTGGCCAATCTTCTGT